AGCGGGGCTAGGTCACCAGGGGAGTGCGTAGCCAAGGCCTTACCCAGTTCAAAGACCGACACAGTTCGTGGATGTCCACCAGGGTCTTGATGTTATTTTAGATTTGAACAGTGGTTTGCTTTCAGATTTCAAAGCCTAGGTACTTCCAGGGTGGCATCCATTGAATCTTCTCTTCTTGAAGCTCGTATCCTGCAACAGCCAACACATTGATTGTGAGCTCAGGAACATGATTAAGTAGGTTGTCATTCGGAGCACGTTCCAAGATGTCATCCATGTAGTGTAAAATGATGACATCTTCTGTGGCTGCATGGACAGGGGACAGCAAGGAGGAGACGTACCACTGGCAAATCACTGGACTGTTCTTCATCCCTCGTGGGAGGACTTTCCAGTGGTGCCTCTTCCTTGGGGCTTCTCAGTTGATGGCAGGAACTGAGAAGGCGAACCGTGGGACGTCATCAGGGTGTAGGGGAATTTGGAAAAATCAATCTTTGATATCGATAACAGATAATTTTGGGGGAGCATCATGGGCGACAGCATCCCTGGTTGGAGAGAGCCCATATCTTCTGTTATGTTGTCAATTTGGTGGAGGTCGTGGAGGAGCCACCCCTTGTCTTTGATTTTTTGATCACAAAGACAGGAGAGTTCCATGGACTCGTGGTCTCCATGATGTTTCCTTTGCGCAGCTGCTGCTCTATGAACTCCGCAGGTGCCTTTAATTTTTGTTTATGGAGCGGCCACTGTTCTACCCATACTGGTATATCGGTCTTCCAATTCAGTTTTTGGGTAGAGCGCTCTTCAGTGGCCGCTGCCAAACAAACCTGGGGGGGGCTGGTGTTACGTCAATTCTGGCCCCTCACTGGGCCATGAGGTCTTTCCCCCACAAGGATTCTGCATAATCTGAAACGAATGGACATATTGATGGCAATTGCCCATCCAGTCCCTCAATTTGTACGATGCTTTTTGATTGCCTAGCCAATTGAATGTCCCCTATACCTTGCATGTGACCAGCCATATTTTGCAGCTCCCAATGTGATGGCTACTCCCAGAGCAAATGATCATCACATTTGCTCCTAAGTCTGAAAGTACATCTAGGTATCTATGTTCCCCACCCTTCTCCATTCTGCACATAATGCAGAGCTTCTCCCTTCCCAGCACCTGAGCCCATGAGACAGTGTGATGAATGTTTCCTTGGAGCAGATGGGTTTGCTCTGGGTCCTAGGTCAGCTCAGGCACTGGTATGGCCTGTGCTATTATCTGGCTTTTTGGGAGGTGGGTGCAGGGGCGGAAGCAGTACAGCCCAAGAGAGAATTATTCTGGGTCTGATGTCAGGAGACCCCGAACAATGTTGATTTCTAGAGGTATCTCCGATGACAATGTACCTACATCAGATCCGGTTCCAAGAACTTGAGACTCTGGGCACACCGACACGAAGTGGAAGTCGGAATTCTGCAGATGAAACAGCTCCGTCAGTTGCAACCTGAAAGGTTCAAAATCAGAGTGGACAAAATGGGTCTTTGTTTAGTAGGTGTAAGGTGAGACAAGTCCTGTCTTATTGCAAAAGTTCCATACCTTCACGGTGATTTCTCATGGACAGCTCCTCACAGCACTGACTGCTGCGCAGCACAGCTGACAAACTCCAACTCTCTCCTCACCCAGCTAACCCACTCTTTTGTAGCACTCGTCTTCTCATTGGACACAGCTGAGACCTATTAAGAGCAGGCCTGTTCCTAATCTTTGGTGATTAATACAGCTGCAACTCCTCAGGTGTGAGACTACCTTCTGCACTATGTTTATTTTCTTACATTCTGTTCCTCCACAAAGTCCGGTGAAGTTGTGGTCACAGGTAGGCTCTGCTCCTTAACATTTTCTCCTCTACTCTCCCCCTGTGAAGTGAACAAGCCCACCTCATTTATATCATGGTGCAGGGAGGGACTGCGCTCTTCAGTTAGTTTTTTTGTTGGGCCTCCATAGGAGCCTTCTGCCCCCTTTTAAGGTCTAAAAATAGTTGCCTCAGTGGGAAGTCAGGCATCCAATGTCCCTTGTTCCCACACAGGTGGCATGGCTTGTCTAGGTCTGTGGGTTTCCTGGAAGGTTTTGGGTGCAAGGCTGATGTGCAGCTGGTGTTGGAGCTGAACCAGCAGCAGAGTTGACAGCGGTGATCCTCCAAGGCGGCCGAATCTTCTTGTCATGTTCCTCCAGGGCAGTGACTTCACAAGCACAGCCTTCTAACACGTGCTGCAGCGTCAGAGCGGGATCCAGGGGCAGACTCAGGAGATTGCAGCTTTGCATTTTGCATTATCATTGGCCAGTGCTGCTTTCTTGAGGATGTTCAGCCATGCATCCTCACTCTGCACCTGCAACTCAATTGCTCTGCAGAGTTTCTCAAGAAAGGTTAGAAAAGATTCGGTTGGTGTTTGTGTAATTTTGGTGTGGCTACAGACTGGTGCCTTGGGTCGCAAGGTGATAAAAACTTTCTCTGTTATTTGGCATTTTCCCTCAGTACCTCCATTCGGAATTGCCGGTGCCTGCTTGGCACCATCTTCCCATTCCTCCTCCCCACAAAGATGATCTATGGAGATGTCATCACCATTGACATCAGAGGCTGTGCAAGGGTTGTCCCATAATGATGGGAGAATTCCCCTCAGTTCTTTTTTCCATGCTGCTTCCCACATTAGGAACTCTGTAGGGGAGAGCAGGTGTGAAAATAATTAAGTTGGCTGGGGTGATCTCTGATGCTGGTAACGTTGCCCTCAGGAGCCCCTGAAGTATTCACTCTCCTGGGAAAACTCTTTTTGGGCTTTACACAACTCTTTAGTGGTGTGGTAAGGGAATGGGGTCCACTAGGCCTGCATTCTCCTTTCCCTCTCCGGATTTTTCATAATTTCCCGAACACTACAGAAACTAACATCTTTACAGCAGATTTCGGGGACTTGGCGGGGGTAAACCTTTATAATCTAACTACTAAAAGAGACTCTGTGGTGCCCTGCATGCTCCCTGTTGCAGTGTATTTTTTCTTAAATGGTTTGTTCCTTTCATCCTATATTGTTAGTTCATTCCTAAGTTGCATCCTCCTCCCCAACTGTCACTCTTGTCCAGTCCCTGCCCCCTGCTCCCAAATGTTCCCTGTCAGTCCCTCCTTGTGCCAGCCCCCTGCTTGGACCACCCCTTTGGAAATCCCCTTATCCTTGACGCCCCATTTGTTTATTTGACCTCATTCCCTCCCCCTGTGACTCCCCATTGGCTTAAGTATTGTAAACCCTGCCTGTTTCTCCTCCCCATCCCTTCCCCTATTGGTTAAGAATTGTACCCTCCCTCTGAGATGTGCCCCATATGTAAGTTCATGTACCCCTTTGCTCAGTGTCTTTTGTCCCTAGAGCCTTCAGAGAATAATTTTTTTGGAGCATACACAAAATATCCCTCCCTCATCTTCGCCTCTCCCCTCGATGCCTCGTGATCAGTGCCGTGGAGCAGTTCCTCTGAGCTGTATTCCCATGGGTTTTGAGGAACAATGTTGTAGTGTGTTTTTTCTGTGGCATGTTGGCCATCACAGGGCACCCACAGGATTGCTGAGGGATGAGGCCCAGCCAGCAGGGGTTTGGGTCATGTCTGACCAAGCTGGTCTCCTTCCATGACCAGGTGACCCTGCTGGTGGGTGCAGGAAAGGCTGTGGATGTGTCTGTCCGGGCTCCAGCAAGGCCTTTGGCACTGTGTCCCACAGCTCCCTCCTTGAAAAGCTGCAGCCAGGGCTGGGACAGGAGCACTCTGTGCTGGGTGGCCCAGAGGGTGGTGGGGATGGTGCTGCACCCAGCTGGGGCCAGGCACCAGGGCTGTCCCTCAGGGCTCTGGGCTGGGCCAGCTCTGGTCAGTGTTTGCACTGACCCCATGGGTGAGGGCACTGAGCCTTTCACCAGTAAATCTGCAGAGACTCTGAGCTGGGAGCTGTGTCCATCTGCTGGAGGGTAGCAGGGCTCTGCAGGGAGACCTGGAACTGTTGGATGGATGGGCACAGTCCATGAGATGAGGTTTAATCAATCCAAGTGCCCAGTCCTGCATTTTGGGCCCAATAACCCCTGCAATGCTCCGGGCTGGGGACGGTGTGGCTGGGCAGTGCCCAGGCACAAAGGGACCTGGGGGCACTGAGGGACAGCAGGCTGGACATGAGCCAGCAGAGTGCCCTGGTGGCCAAGGAGGCCAATGGCTCCTGGCCTGGCTCAGGAATGGTGCGGCCAGCAGGAGCAGGGAGGGCATTGTGCCCCTGTACTGGCCCTGGTGAGGGCACACCTCGAGTGCTGGGCCCAGCTCTGGGGCCCTCAATTTAGGATAATTTAGCTGATAAGGTGGTGTTAGGTCACAGCTTGGGACTTGATGATCTCCAAGGTCTTTCCCAACCTGACTGATTCCATGAAATGTCCCAACCCTTTTTTTCCTTATGTGGAATCATGCAGACTCTTTATGGAGAATACTAATTTATGATCAATGATCATTTGCCCTATGTAGTTAAACAGGATCAGTCTTTGTAACTTTTTCATTAATAAGATGGCCATTTCAATGTAAAACAAGTGAATTATTTAGGATTAAGATTGAACCCCATTTCAACAGCAGTGAAGGACATTTCTGAGATTTGCACAGAAAGGCCTGGAAAGTAGAACTGTATTTTTACAATACTGGGTTGTAGCTTTTAAAATCTGAAACATTAGACATCTATGATGAATTTTTCTGGGTTTGTACTACAGTCAGTACTAGTAATTTACTTTATTTTCTTCCAGTTATTAAACTGTTCTTATTTCAATCCAGGGGGTTTCGTTTCCTCTGTTCCTCCCTGGTACCCACATGGTACCCAGCTGCCAGCTGGGATTAAACCATGAGAGCAAAAATGACATTTCATACATTGCCTGTGCTATTTCAAGGTCTCCTGTAGGCAAATGAAAAAGTAAAAAAAAAAAAAAATATCAAAGCACTACTTATCTTTCATTAGAAACTTTATTGTATTAACCTACAGGGATGTGAAGTGAAATATATGGTAGTGAAAGGGAGAATGATGAACATCAGTCATCTTTGGAAAATATATATATGTTTTCACAACAAAACACTTTTTTTTTGTTACAACTAAGAAAAAAAAAGCCAGCCATACTTGATAGGTTTTCTTTAAAAATATAATACAGTTCAGTCATATCAAAGTGAAGTCTTGTGGGCTAAAAAACTGCAAAGTTATGTTCAGTGCTCTAGCACTAGGATGAGTGTATCAAATGACAAGGTTTTCTCTACATACACTCATTTGCTTTCAGTGATTTCAGATACCGTATATACAATCTTTAATATAAAGCATTTTTTGTCAAAACTAGCTCTGTGATCTTCAGTCTGGACTTTGGAGCTTCGGTGTAAGAATTACTATTTGGACACATATTGGATAAAAAAATTGTTGTTAGTGTACTTGAAAATTTTTAGAGTAACACATTCCTTGCTTTTGATTTTATCCTAACTGCACTTCAGTATGAACTTGCAGATTGTCTCAGCAGAAAGTGTGAGCACAATGAAATCTTTCTTCCTGTAATCTGCATGTGCATCTCCAATTAAAGTTAATGGAAGTTCTCGGGTAGATCAAGATAAGGACAGATTTTATGTGTAACAGTGTGTTGTGATTAAAATCTTGGATGTAGCAGAAAGCTGTGGGGTTTGTTACGCTTCTAAGTGGCCTGAATTAATAATGCCTACAGTATTTAAAGCCTAAAGTTTATATTCACTACCTAAATCAGCTATTAACTTGGTGCAGCTTTTTATTGAAATGGTGACATGCTGCCAGGGGAGAGCTGCCTCCATTTTCAATGCTACATTTTGTCCCTATTGCAATGTGAACACATAGAGGCAAGGCATCCCTTCCCATTCCTGTCTGTGGTGAAGTGAAGCCCATTCTCTGAGTGCTGGCTAAATTTAAAAAACATCCCAACATTCATTCAGCTCTTCCCTTTTCCATGTTAAAAGAATTGTTTATGTGATAAAGATAATTTACCTAGTGGTCTTCGAAAAGAGCAAGTTTTTTGAACTCCCAATTGTTAAATGCAGCATTTTCTATTCATGGCTTTAGAGAAGAAAGGTTTTATTTTAAAGTCTGTTTCACACAATACAAAAAAAAATGTATATACCAGTAGCTCTACATTTTATCTAGATGCATACAAACCCAATCAATACTTCATCTTAGACAGGGATTAAATGGCAAGGAGCCTTAGAAATCTCCTAGCTAATACCTGTACTTTCCAAATCCAAAGGTAATGGAATTCTTTATTCCAAGGATGTACCAGAAATGCCCAGGGAACTGCAGAATAGCCAGGATCCTTCTCCCCATCCATCAGTGACACAGCAACCCTCAGGACCAGGTGCTGCAGAGGCACTGCCAGGTCACATTAAATGCTGGCACCTCACTCTTAGCTTCCTAAAAATAACTTTTCACTGAGAGAGAATATCTCATCTGTAACAGCCATGTAATCTTCAGGTTGATGGGTTTGGGGAAAATTCTGTCCAATGGATGGATCCCTTGGTGAATTTGATTTCCACCAAATCGTGCAGCTCGTAAGAGATTACTTTGGAAGGACTGAAAGCCTCTTTTGGGAAAAAGGGGCTGTTTTGGGAAGATGATCTCCATCCACATGATCAACAGAATAAGCTGAACTTTAAGGAGGAATTGGTTTTTACTTTATTTCTGTGTTTTTGTTGTTATTCTCAACAAAACACCTTGATTTTCTTCCCCCAAATTAATCAATTAGTCTGAACTGTCAGGTATTTTTTAATCACCCTGATTGACATCACTGTGAATTCTTACTTGGATACTCTTGCTCTGCCCAGAGGTCCCTTGAACCGGACAAACAAAAGGCCAGTTGGCAAAAATGCAAAAGAAATGGACACACACACACACACTAGAATATTTTTTCAGTTACAAGCTAGCTCACTAAAAACACAGACACACAGCGTAAAAATGGAGAGAGAAGTTAATGAAGGTGAGGGGGGGTACATGTGTCACATTATTAGCAATGCAAAAGACCAGCTTAAGCATGTGTTTCCCTACGTCAACTATAAAAAAAGAAAAGGTGCCTTTTTAGCAAGTATGCACAGAGTTTGCTTAGTTATTTCAAAGAAAAAAAAAAGTCAGAACACTTGACTATCTTTATCCTATATTACAGTAATTATTACTACCTTTTTATAAAATGTAAACCCTTCCTTGCAGTTAAGATTTACAGAAGTCATCACCTTTGTCCACTCCTTACGTAATCAGTCCGTGGTGTCAAAAATAAACTGATTCGATTTACATCTTTTTTGAAGTAATAACTGATATGTTTTGGATTATTAGTTTGTGTGTGGCAGAAACAGTGGTCAGAACTGCAACGTATGAAGCTGAACTGTAGCAAAATACTTGTTGAAGACTGGTGCTGGGTCTACGGTACTAAGAGATCTTGAAGCATCATGTAAATATTGATGTATTTATTTCATCAATCATTTATCTCCAGAACTATTCAAGCCAAGTACATCCACCACCTGCAATGGAGACAGCAAAGCCTGATGGTGGATCTCCCAAACAACTGCAACACTGTGCTTCCTTATCCCCATCAGATCTTGTTTCTTGTAGTATGTCTTGACTAAAGATAAGAATGGAAGGTAAAATTTGGCAAGGCAGTTTTCCTTCTACGAGTGAGTAACTGGTGAATCAGATCACCTGTACAAAGTGGTATTTGGTAAATTGCACTGTCCTGGGAGTATTACTACTCTGGAACATGACAGACATGAAGCCTATATTTGAAGTTGCTAAAATGTGATGTTATCAATACTAATCTGCAAACTACTATTTTTTTTTTAAGCCAGTATATTACAGTATAAATGTGTTGCATACCTGTTTCTATAAAATTTACTGCCATGAAAAAAAAAAAAAAAGAAGAATCAGGATCCCCAGAGTGTGGCATTTGTCCATCTGTCACTTGTATACACAACACAGACCTCGTGCTGAGATTCTGCTCAAGGTACAGCAATTATCTGCAGGACAGGTCAGGAGCTCAGAGCGACGGTAAACGAGAGCGGAGGGAGCGCGGCTGCGCTGCTCTGCCCCTCGCGAGTCCCAGGGCTGCAGGCATCGGCTCCCTGCGGGGTCATTTGCTGCTGAGCCCCTCTGTGGAGGGCGTGGGGCTCTCTCTCACGGGGAGCAGGTCGTAGTGGCAGGGAATGTGGCTGTTTTTTGGGAGGTCGTAGGGATCCTGGCCGAGGCGCCCGCTGCCGCTGCCGAACGCGCCCTGGACAACGCTCACCGTGGGCTCTGTGAGGAGAGACAGCATGCACTCAAATCCAGGGAAAACACTCATGCTTTATTTCAGTTTCTGCTTCAGCAGCAAGATTCCTGATCCTGCTGAGTCCTGAAATGCAGCTGTAGAAACACAGGTTGGTGTTTTTGCTTCACACTTGCAGCAGGGCCCTGCCATGAGTGTCTCTACTGACAGAAACAAGACAGCATCTCCTTTTATGTGTCTCCAATTTCAACAAATTAAAAAAAAACAAACAAAAGAACAAGCTGAATTTGAGGGTTTCAGTCAAGACTTTGTAACAGTCCTTCAAAGCAGAATGGGTCTGTTGATGGATTTCAGTGCTCTCTAATTGCATGCAGAAAAGGAAAATCCATCCCGTGACACTGGACACAATTTATTACAGCCCAGGGATGATCAGGATAGCTACCACTCCACAGGACCCCAAAGATCTCTGTAACTAAAGAAATATGGCAACTAGGTAGGGCCCATATTAGTGGAATACTACGTCTGGGGGCGAAGATGCCATTTTATTCTCATCAAGAGAAGGAAACAGAACTTCTACCCTCCCATGGATAACTCTTCATCTAACCTAGAGCTGAATTACATTGAAATCAAATGCTAAACTTTTCTTATGCTGTTGGTTAAAGCAAAGCTTTCACACCAGGGCAATTCAGAGGTACCTGTAGGTGACAGAACAGATCTGAAGGTACTTCAAACCCTGTTTGTGTAAATTACACCAAATTAGTAAAAACGCTTTCATTACAGCTTTTGGGCAGAACATGGAATCGGAACGCGTAATTTTGTTTTCCCAGTGGTTTTCATGTGTTTTGATGAAACTGAAGCAAAGATTAAAAAGCCCTGTGCTCTTTTTTGGTGCCCCCCAGCTCCCAGAGGTGGATGTTGTACCTACCAACTTCGTACACGTTCTTGCTGGCCGTGGCAGAGCCGGCGATCTCGGCGTAGGGGGAGTCGCGGCGCGCCGGGGACTTCATTTCCACGTAGCCACATTCTGAACTCTTTGGCACCAGAGCTGGTGGGTCTTTGATGGTAGCATAGGGGTTCTCAGAGCTGCTCAGTGAGCAGTTACTTAGGTTGTACTCTGAGTTCTTCACCAGGTCTACAAAAAGAGAAGCATGTTACTGTCTCGAGCATGCTGCGTGCTATGGACATGGCTATCAAAAAAAAAAAAAAATCAGGGTTTTGTTTCATGCTGAGTTCTAAAAAGTCACTCAGAAGTGAATATTTAAATGCAAACCAGTTGTAACACCTCAAAATTATTTGCAACAGTCAATGAAAGCATCTCAGCTGCTATGCTCCTTAATGGACTTCATCTCGCCACCAGTAAATTACTGTTGCAAAATCCGAGCATCTTCAGTTCTGGTTTAAATAGTGCCTAGCATTATACAGGGACAACGATAGGGATAAGGTGAAGAATCAATTTTTAAGAAGCACTTCAGAACACTTCCTGCCCCTCCAGGTGCTGAAGTCAGGACACTTAAAATCTGAGCCTGTTCCCAAGAGCAATCTCTGGGCGAACAGCAAATGGCATGATTGGTATCTAGGGATGGCTTGGGTGATGCAAAGGTTGAGTATCTGAGTACACAAAAAGAATAACCAGCTTCTTCTAAGTTTCTGTAAGGCACATACAGGAAAACTGGCAAGGAAACAACAGGTGGCTTGTGACGTCAGGATTAGACTGAAGGATGAATAACTGAATAATTTCAGAGATGTATCTGCTGGTGCTGGGAAGTGATTTTGTGGTGTTTGTGTTACTTTGTTCTCTGTGTTGCTTTGTGATAAAATATGTTATTTAACATGACACTTCTTAGCTCATTGCTGACTCCATATCCAACATGAGACTGACCTGGTGGACCTGTCAGTGGATGGGTGCTCATGATTTTGTGACTCATTTGAACTGGGCTTTCTGTAATCACAGAAGTGTAGAATTGTTTAGGTTGTAAAAGACGTTTCAGATCATTGAGTCCAGCCATTTATGTAACACTGCCAAATCCATCACTTAACCACATTCCTAAGTGCCAAACTAGGGTGGTACAATGGAAAGTCTTGTGAGAAAACTGGATAATTCAGAACATCAAAATACCAGATTACCACTACCCTGAATTTTGGAAGCTTTTAATGCTGATATCCTTTCCAAGGGCCTGCAGTGGATGTGGTGAAGGTTTGTGGTCATGCAGACCATGGCCAGCTGCAGTTGGAATTGCCTTTTAAAGCCTTTCAGCAGAGGCAGCATGTGTTCTGCAGTCTAGAATTGAGCTCTGCTGTGACTCAAGAGTGACAGAAACCATTTGGTCTGTGTGACACACAGGGGACTTAAAATAGCTTGGGTTTGTGATTTTGCTGGTTTAAAGAAAAATAAAAATCCAACAACCTCCCTTCAAAAAAAGATAAAGAACCCACACCAGCAAAGAAACCAATCATGCATTGATTCAGTGTCTAGGAAAACTTTAGTTCCAGAATGAATTTTATATTTTCTTCACCTATAAACCAAAGGGAATTTGGAAGAATAAAAGGCATGTCTATGTAGTTTCATCTAAATACATCAGAAAACAACCTCACCTTTCAGGGACTTCCCCACATACCCCCTATCAAGTCCAAAAGCACCTGAGGAGAAAATGATACAAAAAAAAAGGGTAGTTTTAAAACCAAAGAAAACAGAAGTGATTAGACAACAGCTTGTAAATGTTTAGGAATTGCCTTGGGACTCATTTCTGCCCTAGCTGAATAATTCTCTCACAAGGGCTGTGGAACTGCCCAGGATGGGGGTACAGAAACACTTGTACCATTTGCTTCCACATTTTCCAACAGGAACAGGGAGGTGGGTCATGAGGGACCATTACATTATCTCAAGTTTGAACTCACATAACACCAGCTACTCACTCTTGAACAATCCCATTAAATGCTGTTGGAATAAAGCTTTTTATGGTTTTTTTTTTTTTTTTTTTTTGATCTGGATAAACCCTACCTACCAGAAAGGCATCCCACCTTGACCTGAAAATCTCAGGGCATGCAGAGCTTGCTCCAATTCTTATTTCTCTGCTTCCAAATGTAATCACTCCCAAATCAGGGTCAGCCTGTCCCAGCCCCAGTGGCCTGAACACCTTGCACCTGAACCCAGAGCTCTGCAATTGCCTGTTACTCACTGATTTCCCCCAATAAAAGTAAACAGCAGAGCACAACTGCTGTCTGCAGAGACCTGGCACTTTCCTGGTTACTGATCTATTCAAATAGCTTCCATTGATATTGTGGAGAGCTCATTTTTAATTAGGCTGTATTGTGGTACTATGCTAGAAGCATTATAAAAGCCTAAAATGGTTTTATCCATGCACTCTCTAAACAAAATTAGTAGTTTTCAAGAGGTAAGTGGTATTATTTTAAGGAGACCTACACATAATTGATTTTATTCCTAGCCCATCTTTATTTACTAGATCTCATGTCAGCTGTGCTGTTGTTTTCACAACTTTACTGCTCAGGTCACCAGCCTCGAGTAACCCAAGTAATTCTATTTTATTTTCTAGCAAACAGACACAATATCAGCATTCATCCATCCTCTGGAACCTCTCTGTTGATCAAGATAGGCCCCTGCCTTGGGTTAACCACAGCAAGTGTCTCTCAGGAGAATTTAGTTCAAGTTCAAATGCTCTAAGAAAATACAAAGCTGAATGTTGAGCATTATGACTGAAATCCTTTCCTGGAAAAACAAAAAAACCAAACAAACCAAATCCCAAACCAACCACAACAGATCTGAGCCTGAACTGTGGTTTGACCAAGGCTGGGGAAGAGCATGGAAAAACAAACCAAAACCAGTGCTGCATACTGTTGTTCTGAAACCCAGGGTCTGATATATGTAAGTACCAGAAATGAAGGTAAATAAATTTTCTGAATTACACTGCCACTGAAAGTCCTCTTTAAGGCTTTCACTGGGCAGTGCAGTCCAGCCTTTTTGGAATGCATGAGAGTGGAAAAGGGTGAAAAGCAGGATACAGCAACTCTCACCATTTCTTGGGAATTTCTCTCCTTAAAGACAATGCTCTTTTAGCAAACAGGAGGCATGGCTGGGAAGATCTACTATTTACATCTGTAGTGGCTCAGGTTATGCAAAAATACTTTTTAAACCATTGATTTGCATCTTGTGGTGATTTTAAAAAAAATAATATATGCAACCTTTCGTTTATTTGATAGGAATTTATAGTTTTGTCCAAGCAGACCCCCATTGTTCCATGAAACTAGTGAATAAGCAAATCTTTTAATAAAAATGAGAGATTGTACACGCCACATCTGCACTGGGCATCAAAAACTGTTCCACCATTCCTCACAAGGGGTCACTTTTTAATCTATTCCTGCCTTAAGGGATGCATCCCACATCCAGTGAAGAACATTCCCATTCTCCTCCTTTCTTTTTTTTTTAATTTTATTTTTACCGAGCTCATTGAGGTAGCCGCCGTGTTTCCAGTCTGCTGGCAGGGTTCCCGTGTAGTCCATGACAGCACTTCGTTTTCCAGGCTCCATGTTTTTCAGGTTCACAAACAGCTGGCTGGTTTTTGCCTATTCCAAAGAAAGAGAGGCAATAAAACTGAAACTGAAGGGGAGATGCTGAATTTCCAGGTGGTGATCAGGAAGAGCAAAAACCAGCCAAATAGGAGAGATCAGGGAACGATGTAAAATAAACTAAAGACTGCCAGAAGTTTCCACGTTTTCCTGCTTTACCTTTGCCAAGGTCAGTCTCTCCATGTTGGTGACATGAGGTGGGCTGGAGCACTGGGTCAGAGTGTGGTAACTGGGGTTGGAGAAGTAGTGGCTGTTGACATTTCCACCATTGGCATGAGGGATGGTTTCTGGAAATAAAAAGAAAGGAAAATGAAGAAGAACACAGAATTTCTTCCTTAAGGTAAATTTTTGAGAGAGAGTGCTGCACTGATTTTCGAATCTGACCTAGAGATTCCTAAAAAAACCCCAACAAACACAAAACTAAGTATTTTTTATTCATTCCAAGAAATGAGAGATGCAGGGCCCTGAGTGACAAGTCATGTCCTCACTTTTAGCAAGGAGCATTCTAGTGTAGCCTGCTAACTCAACCCCTCTCTCTGCTGTGGATCCTTGCTCTGTTTTTCTTTCCTAGCCATCATTGTAGTCACTTGTACCATCAAGTCTGCATCAACATTTTCTGGTGCTCCAAGAACACCACGGCCTTTGCTATTTGCTTTTCCTTAACTCAGACAAGTCTTCCTGCTGCCTTCTTCAGCTTTCCTTGACAGCGGTGTTCAGAAGGCACAATTGCCTCAAGTTTCATGCACCCACTGAATCCCAACTCACAGGCACTACAGTAGGTCAAAAACTCTTGTTTGTTCCACTGCTCCTTCCCTTAGTCAGTTTCAAACCTTTTGCTGTCTGTTTCTCTGCAGAATCTTGCTACAGATAGCATGAAATCCTGATTTTCTACGCTCTTCCTCTATTCAAGCTCTTGTCATTGAATTTAAAGCCCCTTGTAGAAACCAGATTTTGCCACATTCCCACTGTATATATGTATAAAATTCCCACTGTATAAAAGCAGGCTCAGAGGATAGAAATGTCCATGCTTAATGCAGAAAAAAATTTTGACGGTGTAAAACGTTGCACAGGAAGGCGAAGTAAATGGTCACTTTTCTTTAGAGTTAAGACATTTTTCCAGGGTGTGCCACCTTCATGGTCTCAAAAAGCAGAAATATGTGAATTCAAGCCCTGTTAGGGGCAGATCTGAGCACAAAGACAAGAGGTGGAGGGGGAAAAAAAAGAAAAGCACTCTAGACATGCCATACCTGAAATGGTGTAGTCTGCATTGATGACCCTCATGGCAGGGGTGTAGGTGACAGTGGGCATGTGTGTCTCCTTCCCTTTCTGCTTCTGCCTGTAAATGATGAACAGCACCAGCAGGAAGAGCACCACCAGGACAAGGATGATGATGCCAGCTATGGCTCCTATCTGGTAGGAGTCAGCAGGGAGGGCAGTGCTGGTACGGCTCAGGCTGTTCAGGTTCCCCACTATAATTACACCAGCTGGAACAGAGGGAGAAATGAAAATAAATGCCATAAACCCAGAGGGGCCACGTGTCGGGAGCAGGAGACGAAATTTCACTTCTAAATATAACTGTATTTAGTTAGGCCAGAATAGAACTCTGTCAGGAACCAATCCTAAATTTAAGGAATCTTAGAATCTTCAAACTAGAATCTTCACAGAAAAGAAAAACACTCAGAATTTTCACTCAGAAAAGAGATGTTTTCATGAATTTGAAAAAGTAAAACGTTCTCTGGGCAAAAGAACAGGGCAGGTAAAGCCTATGCTCCATCAGCACCTTTGAGAAGCATTGCCTTGTAATTTCATGCAAATCCACACTCCACTTACTTTGCTCCAGTTTTAATTATCACTAATCTAATTTAAAGCTTCAAAAACTTACATGAATTAACACTGCAGAATGGGCTACACAAAAAACTCCACCTGTCAGATTTATTTAATGAATGACACAGAGATGGTGCTCACTAGGTGAGGCCACTTTCCGTGTGAAAAGATGCCAACAAATGTGATTATGTCCAGGCTTACCTTGATCACACCTGGCCCCTTTCCAGCCCGGGCTGCAGTAGCAGGTGCCTGTGATGTGGTCACAGGTGGAGTTGTTGAGGCAGTCGCAGATCTGGCGGCATCCGTACCCGTACGTGCCCTGGGGACACTCTGCACACGACAAAAAGCAACAAAAACCTCACATTAAAGTTTGGGGTTCCAGGTCTGCGGCAGCACAGGAGCCCAGCCCCACACGCTCCTGTCCCTGGGCAGCAGGTGGCAATGTGTCACCAGCATCAGAGCTCTCCTGGAGGTGCTCCCACGAGGAGCATCCTCCTCGGAGTGCAGGAGCGAGAGAAGCTGTGCTCAGATGGGTGTTCGTGCTTCACCTGCAACGCCACCGAGGCAGTGCAATGAGGAATCAAGGGGGAAAAAAAGAAGGCAAAAAAGGATAAATTTTTAGAAATTAGAAGGCAGAGAAAAAATGGGCAAGGTGTGAATAAAGAGCCAGAAGACTCAGATTCCAGTGCCTGAAAAATCTCATTGTCATACAGGTAGAGCCAGACACCTGGATGGTGTTCTGTGGTGTGACAGGTGTGCTGGTGTAAAACAGCAAAAGGAAAGGACTCTAACAGTGAGTCCGAAATGCATCACACATTTACAGAGAAATACAACTACTGCCCATTGCATGCTCTGATACTGCAATGTATACACTGAGAAACTACCAACAGGAGAAAAATGCTAAATTACGGAGAATAAGGTAACTGGGGAAGTTGTACTTAATTATTTGAATTACTTGAATGTAATACTTAATTACTGATCAAAGTGTCTCTTACCTCATGTAGGTATCCTGGTAGAGAATTACCCTATACTGACAAAAATAATTTCTTTTATACTGCCACCACTTGGTACTGTGTGGCCTGGCACATTACAGCAGTTCTGATGGTTTTAGCAAATGCAGTCTTCACTTTTTCTGAAATTTCTTGAGAGTTCTGCACTTTTATTTATTTCCTTTTGTGTTTTTAAAAGAATCTAACTCATCTTTCATGCATTCCTCATTTGGAATAATTTAAAAAAATAACACAAAGCATGCCAGAGAAGAGTCTTGCAGCCTTGACAAATCCCAACTCAAGTGAAAAAATTCATGTTTATGTACTTCCTCCTTCTCTTGATTACACTCAATAAAACAAGATCATAAATACTGAGGTAAATGGGTGGCCAAAACCTGTCATGTCACAATATATTTTTGCATTTCAAGATCTGAATTAGTATGAACACCAAAACATGTAGCTAAACCCTGCTAAATCATTATTATCAACTTGTAGGATAAAATACAAAATCTGTAACAGATTTGCCAAATTATTCAAAGAGGTGGTTTGACATCAAGAGACTATCTTAAAAAGTTACCCTCTCCTGAACATTAGTGATGTTTTGAGGAGAAACACAGATGTCATTTGAATGAACAAATTTGGAAGCAGAGCCCCGTACAGTCAGCAAAGGTTGGACAAACAGTGCTGTGCTCACGAGCCTGATTATTCTTTTAATGTTGCACAACATTACACCACCAGTGATGTCAGTGGTGTTATCCCTAATCTTCCTGAGGAGAGCAGCACACGTGTGTGTGAAAACAAAACACCACCTACAACGCTTTTACAAACCAGCTGTGCTGTAAACCCACACTGCAAAGGTTCGTTTCATCCGCCAGCACTGATGTGTTAGTTCTTATCTCCAGTTTTCCAACTATGAGCTGTCACTGTGGTTTGTACTAATGGATACATTTCATTACTTTCACAGGATTCTAGTGACAATTCCTTGGATTCATTTTGCTGCTTTTACACGATGGAGTAACTGGGTGTTCCTTTAGCGTCACGCCCGAAGCGACTAAAACGCAACGTAGAGGAACAGAAACCACAATTGTGACTGACAGCTCAATTCTGTGGGGTTTCAAACTGTTTGGAAAAGCCTGTGGCCAGCTGTTTGTCCATGGGACGTGGCCCTGGAGGCCAGAGGCTGTGTCCCAAGGCAGAGGGAAGGAGGGAAGGAGGGAAGGGTGTGCTCACTGTGCTCGCAGTGCCGCCCCATGAAGCCCGTGCGGCATGTGCACTGCCCGCTGATGTGGTCGCAGTCGGCTCCGTTCTGGCACTGGCAGATCAAGGCACAGTCCTTCCCAAAAAAGCCCAGGGGACACCCTGGAACACAAGCAGAGGGAGGGGGAGAGGGGTGAAACACTCTGGGAGCGAAGGCAAACATTCTGGTTTGGTGTGTTGCCGAGGGTTGCTCCTGCAGCTCCTGAAATGGAGAGTTCTGTCAGCCCAAGGGACCAAAACCTTCCTGGTGTGGAGTGGTGTAAAACACACATCAGGCAAAAATTTATTTGGGAAATGGTGCTGGCAGTAGAGGTTCTGAAAAGACAGCTCCTTGAAGAAATGGGCTTCCAAAGAGATTTGAGGGCACCTTGGGGAGTCTGCCCATCAGTCAGTGACTCTCTGGCCAGATTTCCTTCGTGGTTTGTACTGAAGCATTAAAAAAGCCAAAACAACAACATATTGTACCTGAGCTACTTACAAAGAAACCATTTCAGTATGAGGAAGACACACCACTGCAAAGAGATCATTATTCACCAGCAGGAAGCAAAAAACCCCTGAGAGCTGACAGCTGAACCAGCATAGTGAATGTCTCCCAGAACTGCATCCATATGGTCCTGTAATGTATCTGTTATTTCCTGCCACTATGACATTACTCATTTGAAAGTTCTGATTTTATGAAAAACATGTATTTGAACACTGAATGCAAAATACAGTCAGCAGTCCCAATTTTTCTTGAGGTTAAATGCAGGGGCTGTGGCCAGGATCACAGTCAGTGATGGCAACCTGAACTGAAGGTAAACCAAACTGAAAGTGTAAAGCAAAAAAGATAAGAAGTCAGCTTTACTCATATTTATTTCTAACAAATGTTTGTTTCTTAAACTTCGTATGAACTCTTAGCCTGCACTTAACTTAATGAATGACATATACCTACCCCCACTCACTGCACACTATTTTACTTTAAAGAGCTCTTAGAGGAAAAAAAATAATCAGAACTAATGTATTATTACATGAAGAAAATTCCAGGAGAAATGATGATGTTACTGTCCAGTGAAATAATCTTTCAAGGTTCTAAACAGAAACAGCTTCTGTATCAGTACTTGGATTCCAGGTTCAAGCTGTTCTGGAGGATAACTGTGTCACTGATGTTCAGACTAAGGACGAGCACAAAATTCACTTACTCTGTGTGCAGTAGAGGCCAGTCCAGCCCGGGGTGCACTTGCACTCCCCATCGTAGGCACTGCAGAAAGCTCCATTGTGGCAGTTGCACGTGTGGATGCAGTTTGGTCCCCAGTGGGAAGGTGGGCAGGCTGCAACAACCCAGAGCAATTAATTAACCTCAGATGACAAAGGTTCCTTGATGCACATGAATAGAGCTGCTTCCATTCACACACGAGCACTGCTTTGTTCGCTGCTTTTCTCCCGAGTTCATGTTTTTGGCTGCTCTGCTCTGAGCAAACAGCCATAGATTTATTCATTTATTTCAGCTAAGGCATCGTTTTACTCCAGGTAAAAAGGTGCTTAAAAATATTAAATGGGTGAAAAATGCATACTCTATACTCAGTAAATAGGGCATTCACAGCAGCTTTCTCACAGAGAAAGCCATTAGGTTTGCTTTCTTCACTTATTTTTTATTCTGCAAACAGTCAAGGTGATACAGCTTTTAAACCTCAATAACTGAAGGAAAACAGAGAAGGTGGAAACTCATATATAGCCTAGGGCTTTAGATCCTATACTGAGCCTGCTTCTTGTACTTCCACTGTTAAATTTCATGTATTTGCCTAAATGTGATGAAGATAATCAGGTCTGTACCTTAATCTGGTTAACTCAGTTGCTTCCGTGGGTCCAATAATCAATAAAATATTTTTAAACACCAAGTAATTATCCAATAATCAATGTAATATTTCTAAACACCAAGTAATTATCCACAGAATGGAGATTATTTTTTGCACAATCATGTAGACTCATTATGAGACAGAATTTACTGGCTGCTTTGGAAATGTCATGATGGATGAATCTGATGCTATGTGCTGCCACTAGAACTGTAAAGTGGTTCCAAAATACTAATTACTATTCAGAGACAGCAAAAGATAATTTTCTTCATGGTAGAATATCACTAAGTGAAGAGGGTACTCAAAGAAAAGACCCTTTCTGTTGAGTAGATTCTCATCTTGAGGAGTTTTTTCCTTTAGTAAAGAAAGCAAAGTACTTTAAGTAGTAGTTAATATTTTAAAAATAAATAGTAAAATAATTAATTAGTACTTTAAAAATGGTTTTATGGAAGTACAGTGTCAGTATTTTGTAGGAGAGAACCAGGAGGTCAGACACTGAAGCCTTGGTTTTATTCCTGTGTAAATTTAAAAGAGTAACTCCTTATTGTTTTGTACTGATCTGATTGCCTGAGACCAATAGAACTCTTGAATCCTTTAACACTTGCATAATGATTCATGTATAAGTGGGCTGTACTTTTCCAAAGTATCACCTTTTTTCCCCTAATTTCAGTTCATTAAAAATTATATTATGATGAATTTAAAAAAACCCACTAAGTTTATTTTTTTATTATTTTCACCTCAGCTGTGCCTTGTAATTATTTTTTTTTTGTTACTGTTTTGTGTTTGAAATTAGTGGTCAGCTAGGAAGGAATGTAAATCACATACAGGCAAAAGGTTAGAAGTTTAAAAAAGGTCGCTGGTTCTGAAAGAAATTAATGGAATCATTATTTTCCATGTGAACGAAAGGCCTTTATACAAAGCAAATAAACTTCCTCTGTTATGGTCTCTGAGCACAGCCTCAATAAACACTTCCATTCATATTGCTGGCACCACTTTCTTGATATTGATGCAGTGAGTAAGTCCCTCCTCTTCCTAAATACCCCTATTCTGCTACTCTCCCAACTACCTACTTATTTTACCATAAAAACAGGGACCTTTGTAGCCACTGGCTTCCACAGGAATGGGCCCAGGATTTATTTTGGTATCGTACTGGGCTGTGCATGCTAATCACTTCACAGAAGTTAGCCAGGGAAGTTGTTTTTCGGATTCTTTTCCCAAACTGACCAGATGTTACTCTGCACTTGTGCGGAGCCTGGTAACCTGGGCCAGTCAAACCGTAAATGATATAAACCAATGAGCCATGTTATTAAAAAATGCACTTCCCTGGAAACCCCAGCACAGTGCCTGACATTTCAGGGTATGGTGCAGCTTCTTTTAGTCACAAAAGTGGGTTGAGTGAAATTTTGGCAAGTGTGTGCTTCAGACTGTGTGGATTTTATCACCTTATGGGATTGGGTATGCTTCTTGTGAGAGTCTTCCTTAAAACAATTCTTTCCTCTAATTAGTAAATCTCATAGACCCATCCAGGCATATGGGGAGTGACTACTTAATAAAGTAACTTTACAAAAACCAGTAAAATTAGGACCTTCCCTTCTCCTTTTTAAAGCAGTAATGAAGAGTCCAGTGAGTTCAGCACAGGAAAATACTCATTGAGTGAGGCAGAATGACACTAAAAATGTCTATCTGTGGAAACACGTCTATCTGTTTCTTCTTATAAAAGGAAGAAGGAGGAAAATGCATCACAGAGTTACAAGCACTTAAAAAAAAGGCGCAGTGAAAAATTTCTTAACAAAATGTTTAAATGCTTAGTGAGGACAGGGATGGTTGTGCAGCTAGAGCACTAACCTATGCCTGAGAAAATTGCAGCTTTGTTCTTGGCCTAGGCCAGAGAAGTTTGGGATTATTTATCTCTCCATTATTTACCATGAAGTCCTAATTTCTGACTTAAGAGAGTGTTTCTTTACCAAAAAAAAAAAAAAAAAGGTAATTTCAGTGGCTGCACCCTGATTATTTATTCTAAAATTAAAGGTAAAAAAACTCCTGGTACTTACGCTGAGAGCAGTCACTACCAATCCATCCAGGGTAGCACTGACAGGATCTATCAATAGGATTACAAGTCCCATTATTGGTGCAGGTGCATATTCCAGCACAGTTCTTCCCAAATCTGCCACTGGGACATACTGAGAAGAAATTGTCAGAATTAGAACTCCTTAGTGATCAGAACAAGATTTCATTTTCTTCATTTCAGGAGAAAACGACTAATATTTGGATTGAGAGAGGTGTAAGGGTAAAAGCGAGGTGTTTTAAATGACAGTGGGCACAATATCCATATTCACCACTCAAACAATGCAATTAAGAGTACAGAGGACGAAACCACCCGAAGGATGAACAGTTCTGATTGATGCACTGAGCATTCCACAACAGCAAGCATCTTGGGCGTGGCAGCCCCTGGGTGACGGAATGGGGGGGTTCCCCGTGGTACCTTCGTTGCACAGGGCTCCTGTGAATCCGGGCAGGCAGTCGCACAGGCCGGTGACGTGGTGGCAGGGCCCGCTGCTGTGCACGCACTGGGGGCACGTCTGGCTGCAGCGGTGGCCGTAGAAGCCGGGCGAGCAGACTGCGAACAGAGGGGACAGGCTGTCACTGCCGGCGGCTCCGCTGCCCTCCCTGCCTGCCAGCCGCAGAGCTGGTCGCTGTTATCTGGGCAGCTCGGTGATTTACACTCCCCAAACGAGACCTGCTCCCTTCTCCTCAAGGGTTTGGTGTAATTCTGGCTCATCGCCGCTTTGTTGACATTCCATTGGATGTCAAGCCACCCTGAACTTGGATAATGTTTGGAATGCGTACTTTTTTTTTTTTTTTTTTTTTGCCAAACAAGGACATCTTTTGAAGCACATCTGAAGTAACAGAGAGAATAGTTTTATCTCCAGATGAGTAAGGTCATCTTAGACCTTGATTCCTGATGTATTTTCTAACTTGGAATTCAAATAGCCACAACTTCACTGGATAAAAAGCACAGATGTTTTTCCAATCAGCCTTTCTTTTTTATGGTACAGAGTCACTCTAACTTTCAGGGAACCTGAGACCAGAAATACAGAGTTGTGCAGTTAATTGTGATGCTAAAAGCACAAGTTTCTCAAGAAGAAAAAGAAAAAAATGGGAGGAGGAAAGGCTGCTTCTCCTTCTTTGTTGATCTAATCCCTTTTGGCATTTATTTCCTGATAAATTAGAATATTAGGTAAGAGATCAAGAGAAATACCTAACAGCTGCAATTAGCACTGACTAAACTACCTTGGAATCTTTTCAATATTTCAATTTCATTCAAGATTCAGTCTTTTAATTACACACTTGATACAACTTATATGGCCAGGATCTCTCCAGGGAGATTAACTTCTCCAAGTGAAACAGTGCCAAAAGGTCTTCCTGTTTACTGAAAAGGCAGTTTCTGACCAGGATCCAAATTATTCCTATGACCTTTGTCTTCCCAGCCTGCAGACTGTGCTTCAGAGGGGCACTGGACTGGGAGCCCCTTGTCCAGGTTATAGGCACAGTTCCAAAACACCAGGGAACATTTTTACATGGCAGCATTGCACTTTGGATGCACTGATTGACTGCGGGGCCCACAGAGATTAGATAGTGAGAGTAATTAGTGCTCACAGTCAGGAATGCTCAAGGAATACTAATGCCACACTGACGTGGGATTTAGCAGAGCCATGACACAGCCTTCAGCTGGAAATGCTGCCATTCCTGGACTGACAGAACTTCACCTTCCTCTGGTTCCCCTTCTCCTGGCAGTGACCATTGCAGGTCATCTCCTGCCTTTTTAGCCTAGTTTGGAAGAGCCAGGAGCATCTTTGCTTGTCCTTAACCCACCTGCTTCTGGATCCTGTTTCTGGGAGACCTGCTCTGGAAACTGGGCTCCCCTTGCTAGCGTTCAAAAACACATAATCACGGGGACTATATGCGGTGCTTTTTATTAAGAGCTCTGGGAATCGGGGAATATTCAACCCAAATCTGACTCCGACCATACATCTGAAATGATCATGTTTTATACTCTATCGTTACATAACTTTCATGTTAATTATTGAACTTATATTGTTCTATTGTATACATAAATTTAGCCCCTCTCTGAATTTCCAACATAGTTTCTCACTATTCTTATTATGGTTATATAATAATTACATTTAATTACTAAACAATCATCACATCTAACAATTATATAATTTATCATACTGCTTACGCAGGTGCAGTTGATCTGGGAAAGCACAAAGCCTAACATTTTAGATTCTATCTTTAACTTTTTCCAGGGTTCCACTATCACCCTCCAGTTCCAGACAAATCACATTTCTCTTCCCTGAACACCTTCCCCTCATAGCTTCAGTGATTCAAACTGAAGATAGCTGGAAAAATGTGACAAATCTTGGGAGGGCAGAGTTATTATCTACCTCCCTAATTCTGGCATGAGTTTCCTTAGTTCATCTGTATCTCTCTTTGTGAAATTTGTACTTTACCCAGACAAGTTTTTCAAAAGGAGCCATGGGTACATGTGACATTCTCTGCTTACTGTGGGGCCTGATCTCACTGACTATTCTTACAAAACAAGTGTTGAAGCCCCAAATATTAACTAAGATAGCAGACAATGGGAAGGCTTTTAGTTTCTGAAACTCAAGTATGTTTTATTTACCTGTATTACAAACTTAACACTCATCAACCATGTTTGGAAATGCTTTAGAATGGAATCCCCTATGAATGTCTTGGAAAGTCATGTTCATAACAGTGCCACAGGACACACAGTGAATAAAAGGAAAGCTCTACCATAACAAGAAGATCACTACTAGATGAAACATTTGTTCATTTCAGGTAACCCTTTTTTTTTCTGAATATTCATGTATTTTGACAAAATGTCCAATCAAGGAGTGTTTCCCACCCTTTCAGACTGCGATTAGCAAAGCATTAGGATGTTGTGGGATATGTTTACCAAGCAACTGAGGAAGAAACAAAGATTTTTTAGAGCATTTATGCTGTCCTTACTTCTCTGGCAAGTGGTGCCTCGGTATCCTGGTGCACACTCACAGATGCCATCATCTGGAGAGCAGGATGCTCCATTTTTGCAGTAACAAGGCAAGGAGCAGTTGGGACCCCACTGTCCCTCAGCACACACACTGTCACAGTGAATACCTGCAACCACAAACAAACAAAACATCTGTGAAGAGCTCTTGTGCACAGTTAGGTTAAACCATTGCTGAACTTTAAAACACAGCTCACACAACCTGTTTATCAAAACATCACTAACATCAGGAAAGTACCACAAGATAAACCTGCCTCTCTTTTCCTGCCTTCTCCAGAACAGTGAATTTCCCTCATATTCCAGCTTTGCCCTCATATCACCAGCTTTGGTGAGAGGCACATAAATGGCTTTTGCTTCCTCCATAACGGCTGTTTCAAAACAGAAGAAGGTTTTTTTGGTTTCAGATTTTATGTTTGGGAAATGCACCGCAGAAGGTACTGCAGGAACTTTTCCCTCTGAGCATTCTTTGTGTCTGATATAGCTTGTGTATAATAATGGGGTGCAGGGCACGGAATGATTTCTAATTAGTGGTGAGCTGATTACTGCTCAGCCTCGTACTGAACGGAAAAATGCAGTGCACACAAAGGGTTTCCAAACACACCACGTGAGCATTCCAAAATGCTGAGCTGCCACAGTGTTAAGGATGCTGGTCAGCCAGTGCTTTGTTTAACCTGTTTCAGTATAAAACTGATTGTAAAATGGCCACAACCTGAATCTCTACGCATAGATCCTAACACACACCACCCATCACAATCATCCAATCACAATTTGTTTGCTGGGTTCTTTTGTTTGTTTGCTTGTCATTTTTCTTCACAATGCAGCAGCATTAAATATAATTTCCCTGCTTTTTAAGAAGCACTGTGCATGCTAAATGCCAGCAGGCACCACCGTGGAACTCAGACCCTATTGTGTCTGCAGCACTTTGCATTAACAATCAAGTTTTATTGTAATGCCTCCACTGAATGAACCCTCTACTAAGGGAAAAGTGGACTGGATCCAACCACAACCATGTCTTGCTTTGTAAGTATTTCCAGCAAAATATGCCACGGGTTCAATGGCTGCCAGGTTCCTAAAAAAACCAAAACAGTTTTACATGTGACAAGGAAAAAAAAAATCTTTTAACTTTGAACCCACCGCTTGTAAAAATCCTGAGAAATAATTACATGGTATGCTGATACATCAGACTAAGAGGTGATTCCTCATCACCCCCAGCATGTGCCTCGCAAAGCTGCCCATATCTAAACACCAACCCTCTAATAAGAGGAAAGGTACAACTCCAGACTCTTGAACTGTTTTTCTCCACTGGACAATCAACAGACTGAGGAGTCAAATATGTGTTTCAACAGACTGCACCAACCTGTGCCAGCACGACAGAACAACACCTGCCTTTAAAAATCCAGATACTGACAGACGGTACCCAGGCCACCTCGAAGCCCTAACTGCACCATGGTCATCAGCACTGACCTAAAACAAACCTATTATCAGAAAATGAAAGGCTGCTTACATCACTCCTTTTTCACTTTCTGCCTGCCTAGACAGTGCCTGCCGTTCTTCTGTCTCCATCTACATTTGAGAGGCAGTGCTGACTTGGTTCTCAGCAGTTTAGTTCAAACTTTTCATCAACTCATTTAAGCAAATTAAAGAGAGAGGTTTGACTTTGATAGATGCTGGTGCACAAGGGCAGTTATGACATCACTGCATTTAATTCCTTTTCTTCCCCCACAAACAAGACCACTTCTTCCAGCTGCTGCTTTTCCTGGTGCTCCCAAATTCGAGAATGTGGGTCTCCGAGTCTGTGCAAACACAGGCAGAGCCCCTCAGAGGGTTATCTGCCCTATCCCACATAGCTGCACTGGGTGCACCCTGCTGCAGAAAAGCCATTTTTCACAGCCTCAATGGGTGTCAGCGGCGCCCAGTGTATAATGGTCACTATTAACAAGCCCGTGGTTGCCAAGAGCTACCAAAGTGCATTATCTGAGATTATGTAGACCAGTGACATACAATAACACCAGGCTCAATTATACTGCCTTGATCTGTGCACAGAGCATGCTTTATGACAGCAGAGTGTCCGAGGGTGATGCGGGCACGCTGGGATGGGGAAGACAATGGGTCCCATGCTGCACAGAGCCACGGGGCTTAAAACAGAAAAAAAAAATACCACTAAAAACTAAAAAAGGGGGGAAAATGGCTCCTTCAGTACATGTCAGGGAAAACCACCCCTTAGGGAAACTGAAAAAACCTGCTTTTTATCTCCCACTCTCATCCCTTACGAGGAGGTGAAGAAAGGCATCATTCTACTTAGCAAATAAACAGTGTGCACTAAATGTCACTGGGTAACAGTGATGACAGCGTAACACACTGAAAGACTGCTGACAACTACTCTGTTTCACTGCAATTTTATTATATTCACTCTTGATCATTAGGAAAATCAGTTTTACTCCTCTTGAGTGTAAAGAACCAATGCAGCAAGGCCGAAATCATTTAGTTATTTGCTGCATCTCTACTTATTAAAATAGTTTTCAGTCTCACTATTTATTTATTTAGGTAAGTTCACAAGGCACTTGAAAATAACAAGTTGAGCTTCATATCTTATGGTTGTAAAAACCAACTGTGCATTTTTGAGAAAGGACAGGTCAGAAATATTAAAGGGATTTAAAAAAATTTTAAAATTAATTTCCAGAGTGATGCTTTTAATGAAATTTCAGCAAAGAAAGCTATGCTTTGATAGAAAAGCCAGAAATTATTCAGGAAAAAAAAGCATTTTTACCAGAACTTGCAAAGCAAGATCAGACTCACTTTTCACAACAGTGTTATCAACTGGTTGATGACTGCCACACTTTTGTGCAAGTATTAATCTCTGACACAATAAAATTGTTTTTATTAAGTTTTCATGTTGGTTCTGATACTGATAAGGATATCTGAGAAAATGTTTTTGCCAGAGCTATGGACAAAGAGCTCTTTGATGGCCTTCACAAGTTGCTAGGCAATAGCTGAATGGTCATGATAAACTTCAGCTAAGCTGCTCTGAAGAAATGCTCGTGCATTTAATGCCCAGTGCTTTATGCTGGGGGCCTCACATCCCAATCAGCATTCCCCCAGCATTCGTAATTGCATGAATGAAGTGAAGAATTCTTCAGGGATACCACTCCTTCTGCCCATGCTAGCAGAGCATTTGCACACTCCCCATGCTGTATTTTTAAGCTGAGACTCCATGATCCACCCGAGTCACATCAACAAAGAGCTGGTTTGTTTTAGCACTTGAAGTGGGGCGGGGGGGGAGGGAAATTACCAATTATTTCTTACTATCTTCCGAGGCAAATTTACTGTTGGAGTAAGTGCTGTTTTACACCTCACTATGTTTCCATTAGTCTGAGAAAAGGTTACCCAAACTTTACGAAGAGTATTTTTTTTTCTGAAGAACTTTTATTTGCTGTGCAATTTATGTTAACACACATGGAACTTTCCAGTATAACCCCTCAGCATTAAAAACTATTTATATACTGGTGTACTTCCCATGTGCCAGTGCAAAACTGGATATGTAGCAGCCTCAAGTAAAGAAGGAACAAGACTTTCAAAAGCTGGAGGAATCCTGGTGTCATTAAAGCTCATGATGCTTTCTCATTATGGTCCAAGTGCTTGTCCTTCATTCTTGAGAAAAACTAACATTTCTGTTAAAGGCAGCTGCAACTTCTCATGGTGGGAATTACTTTCCTAATTCCTCTGTCAAATAATGGGAAGCCCAAAGGAAGGGAGGTGGTGAAAAATGTCACAGGCACTATTTCAAAGTACCCTCACTGTCTTTGAGGGAGGGTGGTACCTTACTCCACTGCTGCAGGTAGCCAGAGGAATTAATTTAAGTGTCTCAAATTGAGGAGGTAATGAGAGGATCAGAGATTTTTCTGCAGAAGTTCAGACTTCAGCTGCTTCCCTGCAGCAGCAGGAGAGTCATGGCTGGAAATTTTGGTCAGAAGCCAACTACAAAAGGCTGTCAACAAGGACATCAGAGTTTGAAGGCAGAAATCCTTATCTGCAAATTTTAGTAGCAGAATCCCTTTTGAGGTATTGGCAGTATCCTTCTGAAGGCCACACTCTTGCTGCATACTGTTACCCACTCCAGAGGTGCTCTTCTTTTCATCTATCAATCCCTATGTAGCCACCAGCAAATGAGACTTCTCCCTTTTTCAACTTCTTCTAGGCAGAAAACAGGTACATCTAAACAGTGATTTAAAGCTACATTTTTTTCTAAAAGGGTGGGAATTCTTCCACATAAAAATCCACGACAGCGCTCAGAGAACAGACACATGGACACAGCAAAACCCAGATGTAGGGTGGAACCAAAACTCTTACTGGAGAATTCCTCTCCCCAAGCTTGAAAAGCAAATTTGTCATTTATCATGGGAGAGTGCTCAGAAGTAATTTCATTTCTCAGCTCACTGAGTATTCCTCCCAGTGGAGCCTCATCCTTCAGGAGGCCAGGTGGAACTGGTGGCAATGGAGGGAAAGTTATGTTTTACAAGAGAATCTTGGCTTGGGTGCACTGGTGCTACAGCAGCAGCTCATTTTTGCTGCAAAGGTGAGACAGAACCCTTCCAATTCTGGGGTTTTTTTTGCTTTGTAGGACAGGGAAAAATGCATACTCATGGAAAGCTGAGGGTGAAGGCAGAGCTGCAGACCTGGGCGTTTCCACCAGCAGGGTGGGTGTCAGATGGCAGACCTCCCCTTCATAATCCAGCAACAAATGTGCCTCTCAGAAATACTGTCAGAGGCACATGGAAGGACAGAGAAACAACACATCTGGTGATGGGTGAGCTGAGTAATGCCAGCAGGTGTCCAGCACAGAAAAAGTCACCGACACCCCTCCTGCTGCAGCCTGTGGGTGAACGCTCTGCCCGCTGGTGAAATGTGGGCTGGTATTCCTGCATCTGTCTTCTCCACAAACCACTGCCATTGTTTTGGTACCAGATAGCAGACTGGTGGTATTTCATAATCCCTGGCATCACATAGCCTTTAAATCGATTTTGAGAGCAACAAGTGTGGCGCTACCCTGACGTTGACGTCTCCTCACAAATGCAAAGGTGCTGCACCAGGGGCAGCAGAGCAGTGGTGTCTGATCAGGAGCACCCACATCACTGCAATTACACCAATAAACTGTCTGGAGGGAAAAAGCTTTTGCCATTTTGACTAATTAATCATATTGCTTTACTTAATTGATTAATGCTTTAATGCGAAACCTCTGTTTGCAAGAATATGAGTTCCCTAACCTTTCAGGAAATGTGGGAGAAATTTATTTTGACAGCTGCTTGCAGAAGAGATAAGATTAAGGGATGAAACTATCATGGTGGTTGCTGGTTTGCTTGTTGAGAGAAGTGTTGGATATACCTTTATACTGGAAGTTACCCAAAAGTTTTTGTATAATTTAATAGGAGAATTATCATTAACTATCAGGAGAGTATATTTTCTGTGTGTTTCTTCTGTTTTCCCTTCTAATAGTTCTTACTCTTTTCCACTCTCTGGTTACTGAGAAATGAAAAAGAACTTTCCCTCCAAATGAAAAAGAAGTTATTTATAAGATACAGTGAAAATGTCAAGGGATGAGGGAGTTTGGGGCAGACATCATGCTCTGTGTGGGCGGATGTTTCTCATTTGTGCCATCCTGTCATGTGGCTCCTGGAACGTGACGGAATGGTCAGGCTGCCAGGAAAAAAACATCACCCTTAACTCTTCCTTCCCTAAGCAGAATTCAGCTGCTGCAGAGGGAAAACACTCTGCAAACTGCAAAAGAGCACAGGATTTCTAACACGGGTCCTGTAAACCTAAGTCGCTTGTGTTTAGCATGAAACAGAACCCCAATGAAAACCAGCAACCCCAAATAAAAACAGAGATCTAATGAAAGTCAATTTTAACTGTTTCTTGACTCTTTTAACACAATAATAGTGTTAAAACTATTTTAACAAAAAATAGCTGTGTCAAAAACTGAACTTTTACTCCTACCCAGAACCTAATAAGGAGAACACCCTGAGCATGCTCAAAAAGTAACTAAAAAAACTCCTTAACAAAACTAGACCTTAGAGCATCTCAGTGCTGACCATCTCAGTGACCACCTGAGGCCAAGTCCTCGTGCCCACGCCAGCAGCCCAGAGCTCCTTCACACCCCAAGGTCACCAACCCTCCCTCCCAAGCAGCGCTTCCTGCTCCCCAGCCTTTTGGGACAGCTGTGTCGTCACTCCTTCATCTGCTCCTAAAGAGTTACATAAACTGTTCCCTCTGATGGAATTCCCTGGGGGAAGTGCAGATAGCTGTTTTGCCCACAGAGCTGAGGAAAATGCTGCGTTTAAAGCACCTTCTTGGAAAGTCTGTGTTATTTTGATGGCATCAGAACGTTTTGGGAAGTTCACCTGGGCGTCATGGATTTATTTGTGCTTAAAACCAAAAGATACTCACAAGTTCATATTTTTAAGCTTCTTTAATATGTATTTATTTTTAAAGCTGGTTCAACATCAATGGCTTTAAGCAACTAAATCCTTCATTTGGGTTAGAGAAGCATTAAACCAACCCAAAATCTGGTTTTCCCTTTGTTTTTCAACTAGGTAGGTAACACTACCCACCCAAAAATAGTATATCTGTATGTCTGATGGTTACTTTCACAAATCCAACACCAAAAACAAAAAAAAAAAAAAAAAAAAAAGGCCAAGCCACATAATTCTGTCATTTTAGAAGCTCCTGTATTTTCCACACAACCTCCACCTGCTTCTCCACACAACCCTATGCACAACCTCCCTCCTTAATCCTACAATCTTCTGCTATTCCTGCAATGCACTGTTACAGCACAGCTATTTGAGAGCCCTTTCCTGAAGCATTCCCTCCTTTTTTTTAATCATTCCAAATATAAGCATCTGCACAAAGCCTGGATTCCTCTCTGGGTATTGCTCTGACATGTGAAGTGTGGGAGGAGGATTTTTTTTTCCAGACACTGAGTATAAAGTGAGCTATGCTGTGGATGTTGTAAAGTGTGTCTAGACATCACCAACATGTCAAAACTAGTCTGTCACACACATGCTGTTCTGGTGACATCATCCAGGGATGGGGGGCTCCATTTTATCAATAATTAGGCCTCAAGTCTCTTTCTTGTGAAGTATTTTTCCTTCTAAGAACAAAGGCGAAGTAAGATTTCACTACAAAAAATTACTATATTATGTCTTTATCTTATTATATATTATGTAATCTACATTATTGATATTGATTATGCTTTCCCATACCTGAATCCAAGCATAGTCAAGGTGCACCTGAAGCCTCTGTCACACCCTGGGTTAGTTATATCACACTGGCCAGGTAATTCTTATAACGTGTTATAAAACATGCTGCTAGATTTTTAATTTAGCCTTTCAAAACTGCCTGTTTTAACCTGGATCCATTCATTAACACGTTTTGACCTTTACTGTCTGTCTCAATTTTAGAAGACTTACAGGATGTACTTCAAACTGGGTCCTTAGGACTTGTGAACCTACGTGCACCATTAAGGATCAGCAACTCTTCACATGTTTTTATGGTGGGTATTCTTTGATTAATACATTTAGTAATTTATGAGATCACATTTTCAGCAGATTCAAATGTAACTTTGTGGAAATGAGTCCAAACACACACACAATTACCTGAAAACTACCTGAAAGTTAAGGACATTGACATCATAACAAAATAAACACAAAGCAGTGTCAGGAGAAACAGCAATAGCTGGTATAAGGCTAATAGTATTTTCTTGTAATTCACTCAGGTAGCTTCTACTATTTTCTGCACACCTGAGGCATCTGAGTGGCTGATGCAAATCACACTGCAGACTGTGGGAAGAGAACTGAACTCAAAGAATTCCTGCCTCAGTTAGTGAGCGCTGGCTTTTAAAGCTCCTCTCACTCACACTAACAAGAAATGGTGAGACAGGCCTTCTCAAAGAGAAAATAAACAGAAAAAATGAGTAAACAACAGAGAGGTTTGGTTTTCCAGAGCAAAGAAGGAGCTTTTCGTGTGCCTGTGTATCTGCATCCCCTAGAGATTTCCACTTCCCACCCCCCGTTATCATAAAAGTCATGTTCATCTGAACAGAAAGTAGAAAAAACAGCAGGTAAGCTGCAATCAGCTATGGTTAATCAACCTGAATAGCAGACACCAAGTATTATGTACTTCAAACAAGATGCTGGCAATCCATCCACAGAGCTAGGAAGAAAGAGCATAGAAAAATAAAGGTTTGGGAAAAAAACAATAGTAAGACTGTACCTACCTACCTGAGGAGATTATAAGCTCACCTCTACCTACTTTGTCTAAAAGCACCATAAATAAAAAGAAAACAATTCTATTATGAACCTACATAATCAGTTAGGCTAAACATTAGTTTATAGAAGAGTGGAATATGTCTAAAATCACAAATAAAACACAAATCACTGATTTTCAGAGCACAAACATGCTTTGCTCATTAAAGGTTTGTTTTTCATGCTGACTTCTCATTATTAACTGGAAGGAGCCCACACAGACAGGTGATGTGAGACCTGTGTGATCCTTGCAACATTGCAGCATCACAGAGAGGCAGCTGGAACACTCCAAGAGGGGCAAACTTACAGTGTTAATTAAACTTTACAGAAGATCAAAGAGCTCTTCCAAATTTAAAGCTTAGAAATCCTTGTGAGACCTAAAACTCCCTCCTAGAGATAAAGGGAACATTTCGTGATAGCTGCCTTTCTGCACAGTCCCACCACGTTTTCAAAAAAAAAAAACAGTCTTGCTCTCCACTAGCAAGAGGGTGCAACAACAGTGCCCAACAAAAATTTGGTGAATGATTCCAGTGACAGTAGTCCTTAAAATCATATTGTAAAAAAAAAAAATTGTGAGAAAATTTTTGTAGAGGACAAAATATCTACAGAGAAACTTAAAAAGGGTTGAGACACTGAAATGGCAGCACAGCTGTCTTGGTTTGAGACAAGTTAGGAGGCTGACAAGTTGGGACAATGGTTTGTTCTCTTCTTGGCTGCCTGAACAAAGCCTCCTGAGCTCCTGTACATGATGCTTTACCCCCAAGCTGCCAGAACAACCATGGATATTTACAGCTCATCACCACTTTTGTAAGGAATTGTGTAGCGGACGTGCCCAAGCTTTAAAGTTCTCCCTTTCCATTCCCAGTTTTGTGCAGATCACACTGGAAAACTTCCCCACCTCTGAGTCACAAGAGCAGCATAGCAGCTACAGAGCGGGGGGGCTCTTTGCCCTTGCAGCCTCACCAACTCCTCCTCTTCCCCCAAAGCCAGGTGCCTCTGGGGGGGAGCTCTGTTTCTGTGCTCCCCAGGTGTGTGTGTGTACCTGACCATCTGACCAGGTGTGCTCCCCAGGGGTGTGTGTGTACCTGACCATCTGACCAGGTGTGCTCCCCAGGGGTGTGTGTGTACCTGACCATCCCGGGAGGCAGCGGCAGTAGCCCGTGGTGGGGTGGCAGCCGTCGGCGTGGCTGCAGTCGCAGCGCTCGGCGCAGCCCAGGCCGTAGGTACCATCCTGTGGCAACAGAGAACACAACAGCCCGCAGGTGAGGGCAGCTGGCAGCCAGAGCACAGACAAGGCAGGGTCAGCCCGGCCTCAAGGAGCAGCCACAGACCTCTCCTGAATCCCCGGGCTGTTAATAATGTAAAATGTTTGCGGCGTTTGGATCGTGTCAGCATCCTTCGCTTTCGTTCTTTCATTAAAGGGGGGAAGATAAAGAATGAATTATGCTCTCTTGAAAAATACCAGACTAAAGGAATTAAGTCTCCCTTCTGCATCAGACTCTGAGATCTCTGCTTAAGGGTCAAAATGGGTACCACACAGAGGTTTAATTTTAAAGAAAATGAGTGAAACCCATTAAATTACAAGATACCTTCAGTGTGAGGTTCACTGCATAAATAAAGCAAACTATCACTTTCTTTTAATTAGAAACATTTCTCTTGATTAAAAACATTTCTCTCTGCACTACAATGAATACTCCATCAAAAAGAGATAATCTTTGGCTGTGGAACAGTGCACAAAATGAAACTTTATTTTTACCTATGCAACATTTTTTGAACCAACAAGAGATGAAAGTCACAAGTTGAATCACTCTGTTGGTGTATTTCTTTTTTCATGGGAAACATCTAAACATTTGAATTTGCTTTTCTTGCTGCTTCCATGGAAGCTGGCATACAGATTTGTGGAAAATTTCACACTAAATCAACCCAAGAAACTAAGAAGAGCAGATTCTTTACAATCTCCAAACAAGGAAAAGTATAGAAGTCAATTGATCTTGAATAAAAAGTGGCAGAACAAAATTTAAAAAAAGAGCATGGGAAAAAAGCCAGTATAATTTACAGTAATACTTCAGGGTCACCCACAGCAAAGGCAAAAAAGGAAAAAAAATCATGTCAGGTTTAAACCCCAATAATTTACATTCAAAGCTAAAAATTAGTGTCAGTCACATTAAAAATCCGAATAAAACCTATATGAAAATTAATCTGCTGTTCTTTGATGTTCATGCATACATTTCAACCGAGTGCCACAGGATTTAGCTATTCAACTGCCAGTCTTTCAAGTCTAAAGTAGAACAAAATCTTACATTACTTCAGTGTAAGGAGCCTTTCACTCATCTCAACAATACATTTTTACATACAGAAAAAGAAAAGATTAAGCGTTTCCTTTGCATATAATCAGATTTGGAATGAAAGGAAATCCTCAAATATGCTGTTGAAAAGCAGTATTTTTAGCCTGCTATGTACTTGGACTGAAGTCCAAACTGTAGTTCAAATCTGGAACAACAATCTGAGCAGTGATAATAATGTTCTGAAGTTACCGAAACAAATTGAAATATACCGATTTAAATGAAGTCTCTGCTCAGACATGAAAAACATTTTAGACAACTGGAAGTACTTGAACTATTTTTTAATAAATTATTATATTTATTATTATTTGAATAAACAATTTCTGTTTATTCCCCTGCTCTGGAATTTTGAAGCAGAATTTGCATTTGAAATAGGTAAACGCTTATGGACATTGTTTGATACAGATGCAGAGAGGGAGAGGAAGACAGTGAGCTTGGGCATGCTGAGTTATCTGATACAGAAAAAGTTTGGGATAGTGATGCAATTGCTCTGAAATGATACATATATTTTTTAAATGTCAGTTTCGGAAGAGCTAAAGCAGCTTGGGAATCAGGCACTAAGAATCAGGCACTAAGTGACAAACAAAGCTGCTTGAGGAAACAGAAAAATCAGTCTTCTGATGCATATGCATTGCTGGAAACACTGCACACAGGTGGTACTGCCAGCAGCTTTCCTGAATATATTCCATTTTCTTTGCCACTTTACTCACTACAGGAGTGCTTCATCTTAAAACCAAAAGCAGAGACCCAAAAAATCACTCCTGAGCGTTCCTAGTGCAGTTCAGCAGAAAAAAATTTCATTGAAAATGAGGTGATTTCCAGTATTCTGCTGTAGTTCAGCTACTCTCATCATGTCATTGCTCAGTAGAGCTTGTCCAAACTGAAAGAAGCTGAAATGTGATATTTACAGGGTGTGTGCTCCCTTCAGGTGATTCCTTTGTAGTTATATCAAACCAACAACCTGCTCTGCAGATATATTGCAAAAGTTAACAACTGACAGGGGAAGGTCTTCCATCACGAAGACCTGTGATGGAACTGGTGGTAAGAGTAGCTTCTCACTTTTGACTGAGAAGGAATAAAAATTCTTTGTTCATATTGTAACAGAGACAAGGAAAAAAGTAATTAAAATGAGATTATTTGATTTGGGGCGTATTTTTTGTATTTTTCTCTTTTTATTTACACTTGAAAGTAGCAGTTTGATAGCATTTGGTGAAGAAATTTTTAGTGCCTGTCCTTGACCCAGCACCCCATCCTGTGTGGTCCAAGGAGACTCATCCCCATGGAGACAAAGAATGGCAGATGCCCCTCCCTGCCCAATACTCTCCCACAAAAACCTCAAAATTCAGTGGAATTATTAAAGTACCTGGCACGGGAGCTCACATTTCTCTCCCCTCCATCCTGGGGCACAGGTACAGGTTCCATCCAGAGCATTGCAAGCCCCTCCATTGAGACACTGGCAGGTCAGGTTACAGCCCAGTCCCCACGTGCCACTGGGGCAATTTATGGAGCAATCCACACCATGCCAACCTGACAAAAATAAAAGGGATTAAAGTCAGAAATTAACCAGGTTTTCCCCCATTCCTCTCAGAGGATGTTTCATGTCTCTGAGATGGGCAGTACTGGGGTAAAATTCACTGCAGGATTTATCAGCTGCTTCAGCTCAGGGCCTGTCCAGGTTGGAACAAAGGTGCTCAAGGGCACCTTGTAACATCTGTGCACAGCACACATCTGCAGATGGGTGCCAACAAGCAAAAGAGACTGATGGAAGATCTGAAATGGAAATAGAGACACCTTGACACTTCACTGAGAAGCTCTAAACTACACTGAGAGTGTTAAGGTGTAGCCTGGAAACAATTAGGAATATTTTCCCTAGGCTCAAGCTGCTGCTTTCATAATTGTTCCACCAACATTCAACTCAGACAGTCCTGTAATATGGTTTTAACATGTATCTAACAAAAAAAAAAAAAAAAAAAAAAAGAGAAAAAATAAAAGTATTGCATAAACTGGATCCTTTGAGGAAACACAGAAGACCTTTTAGAGGATTTCTGTATACTTCTCTCCAAATACAAAAAGAAATGTAATGGAAAATAGCTGTAAAATGCAGCATTCACCACTGATCATGTCCAATACCAGTGGTTTGCAGACTGGATAGACTGGGATGGGAATAGATTTTTTAATATGTGATCATCCATCACATTCAAGAGGAACAGTGTGAGGCAGTCAGTCACATATTACCATCACCAGTGACACAGGCCAAGTTTCTAATTTTGTACCTTGTTTACAGTAAGTGGAGGGAAAAATAGTTCTGCACTGAGACTGATCAATAGGCTATGCAAAACACATGCACAGCAATCAGGCTGCCTCGTGCTTCATTGATAACTTCAAATTCAGGGGTCATTTCAGGAAAAAATGTATTTTTTGTAATTTGACTAGGAAATTGAGTCACTCTCCCTCAGCTGTCTTCCCAGGATTTATTACCTTCCTTTGTTTACATGACAAGTACCTAGGTTCGGTTTAATTTTACTTTTTGCTGTCCTCTTTCACTGTAGTGTGATTAAAACTGCATGGGGTACAGGAAGATAGGATTCTGCATTGCAAGGAATATTTTTATCCTCATCAGCTAGCTGCTTTGCAGTATCAACCTGAACAGGGTTAAAGCAGCCACACTGTCTCTAGAAAGAGCAGAAATTCTACATTTGCTGCGTAACTGATCTAACAGTGTCAGTCTCTGAAAAGTTTAGTGGATATTTGTCTAGCAAACTCTATTTAGATGGGATATTGGGGATTAGAAATTGTTCCCTGGCAGGGTGGGCAGGCTCTGGCCCCTGGATCCCTGGCAGTGCCCAAGGCCAGGTTGGACATTGGGACAGTGGGAGGTGTCCCTGCCATGGCTGGGGGTGGAACAAAATGATCTTTCAGGTCCCTTCCATCCCAAACTGTTACCAAATCCTCCAAAATCCTTGTTACAATTAAACCCCTCTAACACTGTTCTGTGTCAGCAAATTAGGCATTGGTTTATTCCTGGTCAGGGTCTCTGGGTGTGTGTGGCTGACAAAATTCTGGCCTCCACACAGATGCAGACACAAAACTTTTTCACTTATTCATCCATTTTTAGCAAACAAAGAAATTATTATTCATTGGTTCTAAATCATGTAATTCTCTTTCATTACGTAGCATTCTGTCCTCTATTGGTAATGGATTCCTCACTTCTCAGGCTAATTAATCTGTATTTTTTACTCTTTTTATTATCTTCTGCACAGGTAGGGAGCTTCCAATACACATATGTGGAGTCTCAGTTATCTTGCTGTCTTCCTCATCTTCTGGTTTCTGCAAAATGTATTTGTAGCCCATAAATTCTGCACTTCTCGTATTCATTTTAAACAACACGTCTCTCTCTCTCTCTCTCTCTCTCCCTCTCCCTCCCCCAGGCTTTGTTCATTGAAGCATGTCAAAATTAGCCAAGGAAAACATCAAGTTTCAGTAACTTTTTCCAAGTATTCCCACAACAGCTGCTTATGACAAACTTTGCTGAATTGTGGCTAAAAGTGATTCAAAACTAACACACTGCTTATAGTCAAACATATGGGTTATGATTAATTAAAAACAAGTTATTAAAAGTTAATGAAAACCATTAATTAAAAAAAATACGAAAGTTATGTAATTCCAACAAAATCGTTCTGGGATTCCGTTTGATTTTGATTAGGAATGCTGACATCAGATAAAGGGTACACCCCACAGACTTCCTGACAGCGCAGAAAACAACTTTTCTTCCCATTTTCCTTGTTTTCACCTCCCAGAGCAGCAGAAGCATCAAGTGTCTGCTTCTCATTAAGTTTCCTCTTCTCTGCTTCAAAAACCCAATTTAATTTTTAGAGTTACAGGGAAATGAAACCCATCTGAGGAGACACTTACCTGCTTTGCAGGCACAAGAGCCATCCACAGGTGAGCAGGTGGCCCCATTCTTGCAGCTGCACACGGAGGAGCAGTTCACGCCATATGTCCCAGGGAGACAAGGGGTACCACAAGATGCACCCTGAATTATAAAAGAAGAGTCTAAAAAGAGCCTAAAAACCAACTGAGGCGGCTCAGAAAATACAACTGACTCAGGTGATACAAAAGCCAGCAAAAATACAGCCCATGCATGTCCTAGGCTGTCACTAAATTTTCTTTAATTTAGGGGAGAGGGACACTTTTCATGCTTTTGAAGTATTTTAAAGTTATTTTCAGTAAGTGTTAGTTTTGTATTGTTTGCTCTGAGAGGTCAAGTCACATAGCACCTGGTTAGATAAGGTGGATCAGGGGGCAACAATAGAGAAGCTCTTTATGAAGTTAAAACACAGTAAGAAAGAAGTCTAATGGTAAATTATGTGGGTATGTAAAATATTTTTAAGAGCTAATTTGGCTGACGTTTTCAGTTATTACTTTCACAAGAACAGTCATACTGTAAAATGTTAGATTAGCATCCAAAGCACATGTAACAGCAAATGTGTGTAAAAGTTGCAGAATAATCTGTCCTGAAGTATAAAAAGAAGTGCTTTTGGCTGGAGTTTCTGTGGATGGAGCGTGAGGAGTTGATGACTGAAACCCATCGTTCCTGTCTTCACTTACACCTCAACAGCACGCCCTCAATATCTTATAAAGCAAATAACTTCTCCTTCTAAAAATGTTCTTACCAACATCTTATAAAGCAAGTAACTTCCCTTTCTGATAATACCTTTATTTTAGCAGTGAGACCCGACCAGAAATGCTGATTTTTCAGGATCCTGCAGCACAAGCTGTGCCACCCAAACACCCTCACTTCCCTCGTACCGCGGCGGAGGAGAAAGGGACGGGGTGGCACCCTGCGGAATCTGCTGCACAAGCTGTGGGATGGGGAAGTGAGACCCTTTTACCTCGAAGCCAGGGGCGCAGGTGCAGGTGCCGGTGACGCTGTCGCAGTCGGCCCCGTTGTGGCAGCTGCAGATCTGCTGGCACGCCTCCCCATAGAAGCCCGGCGAGCACGTCTCGTTGCAGTACAGCCCAGCCCAGCCTGGCTTGCAGGAGCACTCCCCAGACATGGGGTGACAGCTGAAGGGAAGGTTGACTCAGTAATTCAGGACTACATGTGGCATAAGTATTGTTTTCTCTACATAAGACCAAAAAAAAACCCCCCAAAAAACCCCGAAAAACCCTCCCCCAAAAAACCCCAAAAACCAAAACAACCCCCCAAAACCCAAACAAACAAAAAACAAAACAAAAAAACAAACAAAAAAAAAACCCAAAACAAGAAGAAGCCCGCCAAGCACGTCTCGTTGCAGTACAGCCCAGCCCAGCCTGGCTTGCAGGAGCACTCCCCAGACATGGGGTGACAGCTGAAGGGAAGGTTGACTCAGTAATTCAGGACTACATGTGGCATAAGTATTGCTTTCTCTACATAAGACCAAAAAAAACCCCAAACAAAACCCCCAACCCCCCCCCAAAAACCCCCCCAAAACCAAACCAACCCAAACAAACAAACAAAAAAATGAAACAAAAAACCGAAAAAAAACCAAAACAAAACACCCAAACCCCGCCTTGTTGGAGATGAGTTGTGCGAAGGGCCTTGCGTGAGATGATTTTACTTCCCACAACACAATTTGGTGTATTTATATAAAAATATGTTCCAATTAAGATGGGACATGCAACATTATGCAACATACAGACATTTTGGGATGACATGGAAAGAAATAAAGGGTGTCAACTTTTCTCTATTTGAGCAGAAACCTCACTGAAACACAGTTTTTACCATAACACAGATATGCACGGATACAAATACTAAGAGGATCAAACCATTAAACTGCTCAACATTTATTGTTAGATTCCCACTCTGACAGGACCATTTTCCTAACCCTGCAGAAGCTCAGCAGCATATTGTCCGAGAAACATGATCGAGCAGAAAAATAGCATGGCAGCATCCAACAGGAAATAAAACCACAGCACCCCATCAGCCGAGCAAGAACGTTCTCCTCATTAAGCCAGTTTGGAAGAGGATGACTGAGAACGGTAAAAAAACCCCCAGCCGTGGGCAGAAGCCAGCTATAGCATGAGGGCAGTGACCTTGGGGCAGCATCTCCCCTCTGTGCTGGCCATACCTGGTGGCAGAGCAGCTGCCCCATACCTGGAACAGCAGTTCCATTGAAGGGCCACGCAGGCAGCTGCTGCCTGGGAACACATGGACATCATCAGCTGTGCAAGGATATACGGGCTGGGAGAGGGGACACAATGGGCTGCTCTGTAGCGCTCTGGCAGACAAAGCATTTGCTTAATTCTCACCAAAGGAAAGCCTCAGTATCCAAATCCAGTGTATTTACAATGGGAAGACTGTTTGGAGATATTTGCCTCCCACTGATTGCAGTGAAGCTCCTTTAAGAGTGCTGGAAGGACCAAAAAAAAAAAAAAAAAGAAAAAGGAAAAAAAAAAAAAAAGAAAAGCCTTCCTCCAGACAAATTAAATGACCCATGACAAGAGCCTGGTTTTGCAGGGCTTGCTGACTTTGTATGTGGGGGTGTATTGGACACTGAGTATTTTTCTGACCTTTTGAAAGTCTGAAAAAATACCTGCTGCACGTTTATAACATTACAACAACAAACTCTGAAAGAGATGCAGTGTAACGTTGGAACACAACATTAGTTACAACTGCTTTTGGACTTGAGGGCTGCTCTTGTCCAAGTAAGAGTTTAAAATTGCTGAAAACAACCATTGCTAATCAGGGAAGGCAAAAGGATTGTGAAAGTTGGAACATCACCATGTGTTCTGCTTTCTGCATATTTAATGCACACACTATGGCACCATAAAAATTCATGGGTCTCATGGAATATTAAAATACCTTTGACAGTGTTGGCATAAAGTAGGAGGAAAGGCCTTTTCATACAGAAATGGTTCAAAACTCATGGTGCTCAGACTGAACAGACCTAGTCATTTGTTAGTTATGTGCATACCAGCCATGAAACAAGATGAAATGGAGATATTCTCATATAAAACACGGGCAAAACTAAGAAGACACATGCAGCAAGATAATCAAGTTTGTCTCCTATCCTAAATTCCTGCAGGACCCCAGAGCTCTCACTAGTGGAAGAATACAGAGCAGGAAAGATTAAAAAAAAAAAAATCAATTCACAACTAGATAATTGTTAGGGTAAGAACCAGAATATATTCATGACATAAATTCAGTAGCACGGGCACCTTACAACAAAAATCCCAGCGCTCATGGAATCCTGTGAATTCCCTGTTGGAAGTGTGGTTTGCTGTTGGGCTTTTTTCCTTTTTTCCCCCCTCGCAGGACATGAGGGAGTCCTGGGGATGAGGCAGAGGCATTGATGTTCTGTGCCCCCAGTGAGTGTCACCCAGGCGCCCTTGCCCACGTATTGACCGGCGCTGAAATTAGCACTCCGTGATTTGCAATTAGATGCAGGAGGCCAGAGCACTTCTGGAGGCTTTGGATGGGTTCTCACGCACTTATCTTAATTGGCAATAATGTTTAAATGTTAAGGTAGGGACATAAAGAGATGCTGGGAGATACTGGCAATATATCCTATTTTATTCCTGGTTGTCTGTTCACAGTTCCTGGAAATGCAACCCCACTCTGTACAGAGACAAAAATAAATTATTGTGGGCACTTCATATTATATATTTGAAAGATTTAGGTGAAAATAATGATTTTTATATGCTTAATTTATGTGTTTTGCTTTCAAAGTATCCAACCAAATTATGTAGTACTCTAAAAAATAAGTATAAACATAAATATGAATAAACACAAAATTTCCATTAAAAGCTTTTGCACCTGTACATACAGGCCCGTTATAAAAATGGAAATGTAAAAAGCCCTAATCTTTACTTTAAAAATAGAGCCAAACTACATGAACCAAACATGAATTCCACCAATAAAACTACATGGGTATCTCAGAAAGGGCATGAGACAAGAAAAAAAACCCCACTAATGCTCATGTCATGAATAACTCTTAATTGCAGGCTGAACTGTACCAAGGGTGCTGGTACAAGAACGTCTTTACCTGTTGCTGTCCTCTGGGCCCCTCAAACAGATTAAAATCTCTCAAGTATAGCTATTTTTATGCTCTACAGAGCATTTAATAAAGACTGCTGGTAGGACCAACAGCAAGGAAGGGCTTGCCTTTCATCTGCAGGAGCTGCCATCAACCAACAGCAGCAGCAAAATCTCTACAGCTTAGCCTACCCTAAATGCAAATAATGAATTATTGTCAGAGCTGTTTTTTTGCCAATGATAAAACAGTAATAAAAACAAAGAATGTGCATTATCCAACTGTGTATGTGGAGATGTATGTGAAGAAAACATAGTTGTATTCTGGAACTTATGTACACCTTCTTTAGAGCAGTATTTTTTGGAGCTAAGCATATTTTTTTAAAAATTAACATTTCTGTTCATTTCTGTATTGATTAATAGCAATAACCTAGAGCTCTAAGCCTACCAACAGCTCCTCTTTGAGGATATCTAAATCAGTGATCACACCCAGATGACAAAAGCTGTTATGGTATCAAGGGCCCCCAAAACAGAACCCCAGACCTACAGACACACAAAGTTTATTTGCAGAAGGAATTCCACCTCTTTTTTATTTTTTGCATGCCCTGAGATTCCTTTTCTGCTAAATGAATTAGTGCACTGCCTGTGGCAGGCAAGCAGAGGGCTGAGGGTATTCCCTGACATGATTAAAGAGCTGCCTCGTGGCTGACTGACATCAAGAAGCGAGGACAACCAGGCACAACTGGCTTCTGAAAACATTTTCAAAAGATACTCAAAAGCTTCAAGTGCCCACAGGGAGTTTTGTCTTCTACATCATTGCCTTTATTCCTGATATTTATGGTCTTGGGCACATCCTGGCCCAAGGGGAAGGAACTTACACATATGTAAAATGTTCTTGGGAAGCAAGGAAAATATTTGTTTTTCTCACACATCATGATGCTCTGGCAAATATGCTCCAGCACCTTCAGGGCTGTTAAGTGCCTTTGGATTTGTCATTCAGAGAGGGGAAATGTCCAAAAAAAAAAAAAAAAAGACCAGCCAAATGCTGTTTACTTGTGAACATTTGTGATCTGATTTGACCACGAGCTGTCTCCTCCAGTGGTACACTTGAAGGAACAGCTGTGTGGGACATGAATGAGAAGTAATCCCTGTAATATTAGAAATGGTATACAGTGCAATGCATTCCTGTCAAACCAGGCTGCTGCAACAGTCTGCAGACGGATTTTCTGTAGGGAAGTAGCTAACTATAATTCATAACACAATAGTGTTTGCTGTGCTAGCCTAATCTGAGAGATGGAGGGCCCTGCATTATAATGCCACGTATTCCTGAACACACTGCCCAAATAATAAATTGCTTGATTTTACATCAAAATAAATCTGTATTTTTTTCAAGGTATTTCAGGCAAATGGGATGAGCAAAAGCACAAATACACAACTGTAAAATTATAGGACCGGAAGGGGAAAATTATTCAGTTTGTCAACAAAAGGTGTGTTGGATAACTGCAACAAAACACAGAATAATTTTTCACAAAGAATTAACAGAGTAGCTATTTCCGTGCATGGATTTAACATCACTTCTAAATTCTGACTAAAGGCTTTTGTTTTGTCTATGAGAAAAAGTGCCTCTTATATTAATGCAGAGCAGCATTCTATGTGACACTCAGTAGCTCCTGCAAATTACCCTCGCAGCTACTTTCAATAGCAAAAATTTAAATTGTGCTCACGACCCTTCTCCAAGGTACTGTTATTAGTAATGCAATTAAGTAGAAGTGAATGCACAATGACCACAGTATCTAATCAGAAGAACTGTTTTGTAACAAGAGAAAGCTGTCCACAATTGTTCTATAAATATGCTGGCTCGCCTCAACTGACATCTGACATCCCTCCCTCACAGCTGAAACTCTGTCTGCAAATAAGCAGTTTTTATATTTTCATAACAATACGCTCAAATGCTGTCAAAATTCACAAAAACTCAAAAAAGAGGGCTCATCACCTCCTGAATGAGGAGAGATGTGTAAAAGCTAAGAGAATGGGAAAACTATTTTCATTTGATTTCCAGGGATTGGATTTTACCGCTCACTCAAAAAAGCTCTTAAATGACAAAAAATGTACTTTTCCCAGATTTAGAATAGGTAAGGCTTTTGGAATTTTGTGCTAAAATAAGTCGCCCACAGAAATTCTTATACAAAGAGACTGAGAGAAATGTCCAATCAGAAGACTTCAAACATCCATTGATTTCAATCCAGTTATTTCTCATCTACAGTAACCACAGTGTGTAAGAGGCAGCCCATGTGCACTGACTTTATTCAGTCACAGTGAACAACATAATGATTTATTCAGGTGGCAAACATAGATAAAGGTCATGCTTTGTCTTAATATTTATTTCATGGGTCAGAGACCAAACACAGCAGTGAATATTACGATCAAACGCGCTTGCAAGCAAGAACGCAAAGCACCTTTTGGGTTGGTATTTTCTTTCTCGTTGCAGTCAGAGAACACCGAATACTCACAAGCCTTTACCTGCTTCAGTCTGCACAGAAGTGTTAGAAAAAATCAGGAAATACCCCTTTTCAGGTTATATATTTAGATTTCTGTGCTCTGTTTAGGAAAAAAGCAAGGCAGGGCAGAGGGAGCAGAGCGTACCTCCACGTGTTGGGCATGTGGCAGGGGCAGTTTCTGTCACACCTGAGGCCGTAAATGCCCTCGGGGCAGAGCCTGGTCTCGCAGTGCTGCCCGGTGTAGCCCGGCTCGCAGAGGCAGGCGCCGCTGACGTGGTAGCACTTGCCACCGTTCACGCACCGGCAGCTCTCCGCACACAGCAGCCCGTAGCGCCCCACCGGGCACTCATCCTGGCACCTGGCAGGGGGAAACAACAACAACAACAACCAATGGAATTGTGGATTTCCCATAAATGACAGCTGCTGGAGGCCTGAAGGAAATTTGGGGTATGAGGAATGTCTTCTGCTGGTTGAAAATGTCGCTTAAATTAGAGCAAAAATCTGCATAACTTGGGGAAACCTTCAGGACATCAAACCTGGTTTTTTCATCTCATTTTTTTGACAGGTGAAAATGAAAATCAGTAAAAATTTGAGTTTAACCCACATGGCTTAGCAATGACTTTTGTTGCTGCTTAAGGAAAATATACGTTAAGAAAGAAACTTCACCAAACTTTTCCCTTCTTATTCACAGAGTTTTGAGAAGATAGACAACAGACATAAATTAATCTGTTTAGCCAAGAGATTAATTTCCTTAATTTTTCATAGATGGAACACATTGTTTAACCTAAAGATCAGTCTCCATCTTCAATCTGACTACTAGAAAATAAAACTGCAGTATCCTGCTTCTCAAATTCGCAGCTCATAAAGTAATGATCTTCTAGATAGCAATTTCATTTCTCTGTGTCTTGAGTTTGATGTTTACAGCTTTGTCTTTCATGTGTTCTAAAAAGAAATTGTTAAATTTGAATGCCAGTCAAGTTACAGGTTGTAAAAAAAATACTAGATAATTTAACACATTATTAATGGTTTTTTTTTTCTGTTTTTCTTATAAATTTGGCATTTTTTGTTTTGATTTTTTCCCTCATTACATGAGAATTTCAAAGACACATGATACAAGGAACTGCAAAATGTAACAGAAATTACCAAAGCCCTCTGACTGAAGTAAAATGAGTAAACATGTTTGTTTCATGCTTCTACACTACTTTTCTCAATCTGATGCTGATACCCAGAAGTTTCAAGGTATTTGTAACTCTGTCCTAACTTTTTAGCAATAAAATCTTCTTTTCTCCTGAGGTGTAGCATAAAAGTAGAGCTAACAGCATAATAATAAAGCAAATTACCTTGTATCAATGTGTCCTGACGAAGTTATACAAATAAAGATGTGAAAGAATCTTCTTCAAATGGCAACCAGGAACCTCAGCCAAAGTAAACAAAATTTAACCCAGATTTTTTTTTTTTTTCATTTAATTTGCAAAACTCATCTCTTTGGAGGAGGTGTGTATGGGCTACTCAGACAGTAGCCACACAGCTCTCAGACATGAAATAAGGACCAGGTCCTTATTTAAATAATAACCTTGCCACTGACTCCTTCCTGCCCTTGGAACCATCTCGAAAAATGAAAGAATTGAAAATACAGCCTCTTTTGCAAGAAAAGGAGGCTAAGATCTGCAAAAGTGATCAAAATGCTGCAAACTGTAAGGCATTTCAGACGAAAGTCAGATTTAAATTATTACAATACGAAAAATTTAATTACTTTTAGAAACACCAGCGCAGAGCAGTGCACAGACACTTGTGTGGTTACTCCTTTGATTTTCCCTGGAGCCCCTGTCTATGTCTGCCTAAATGCATCTACCACCTTCTGCACTGTTTCTTCACAGACACAAATATAACTAATGGCTCTGGGCTAGTTATTCCTCTTCTTCTTGAGGTCTTTTTCCACATTATGTCTGGCAGAGCCCTTCCCAAGTCCTGTGAACGCTGGTGTGGGGAGTGCACATGGTTACCAAACCCACAGCTGCTGGCAGGGATCCCCTGCACTGACACCAGAGATCAGGCTGCTGCTGACTCCTGAAAATGAGCTGTGTGCTGCTTAAAATACATGCAGGAAAATGTTCTTTCATCGCTTTCCACTGCCTTCAAAAGGGATGTCTCACTCTACTATCTTTCCAATCTGCCAAAGCTGACTTAACAGACATCCAAAGATGCAATGTTTCATTTGAGCGGAGCATTTTTAGGAGACAGCTCTGCAGCCTGCAGCCTGTGAGGAGGGACTGAACGAGTGTCCCTCGCTGCTGTGAGTGCCAGACATCTGCACAAACCCACGGGCCTCCCTCCTCAGCCCGCCACCACAGCCCAGGCTGCACCATTCTGCAGACACTCCACGGGTGGAAGGCTCACACAAGTGCCAGGGAAACAGTGAAACCCAGCAGTTCCTTCTGTTCTTTCACACAGACCTTCAACTTGCAACCTGGCCTCAGCCGAGCGATGCGGCAAACACTTCATCACCCAAACCAGCACTTTCAATCACATCTCAGATGCTTCCAGTGCTCCTCTGAGCAGCCTCTGCAGCTGCCCTGCTGTGGCAGAGCCCTGCAGGCTGAGCAGCCTGGCAGGAATGGGTTTCCTTACCGTTCCCCCGTGTAGCCTGGGCTGCAGTGGCACTGGCCCGTCGCCGAGTCGCAGGTGCCTCCGTTGTGGCACTGGCACTCCTGGGAGCAGTTCTTCCCAAAACGACCCTCAGGACAAGGCTGACCACACACCATGCCCTGGCAGTGCACAAGAGAAGTCTTAGAGTTGGGACTGAAGCTTGAATAGACAAGGAAGAGGTGAAGGAAGATCAAGGACATGCTGTATTACTCTCCCAGTGCTGATCTTGGAAAGGCCAGACCCTTCTCCAGCTTTAAATGCGGGGCATGTTCCAGCACTGGATTTGCATGTTGGAAGTGAAACACTCATGAAAAACACTCCCTCTAAGCACCTGTGAAAACACTTACACATGAAAGGCAACTGATGTCAATCTCTTCCCAATTTATTTACCAGGAGTGTTATATATCAATATACCCAGGAATGTCCTCCAGTGAATAGAGGTGTAAGAATCAGCAGCTGCTCTAATGCCCCAATTATTCTACTTTATGGTAAGTTGGTTTTTTTTTTGATGAATGAAAAAGCTGTTCACAATTTCACTTAAAGCAGCACATCCTAAAAGCTTAAGTAGCATGATTGCTCCTTTCATGGGTTTTGAATTTCTGCACTGCCTTTTACATCCTTGGAATTAATTGCACCTGGGTGGTGAGGGAAACATCAGAACCTAAGACTTTTAAGAAGCCATTACAAGAAAAAGGTATTTACAGGCAGTTCATCAGACAAAAGACATCCAGGTATTTCATCTAATGTAAGTCACTGCAGAATTTGCACCTTGCTATCTTAAACCTCCCTTACAAGAAAAAGAGCAAAAAAAAAAGGTTACACTGACAAAACAGTGTTTCACGAAACTGAAAATTCTACAATTAAAACTTCCCCTTAAATAATTACTTGGAATGGAAAATTAATCAAAGGTCTGAATAGTCATGTATTAATTAACATACATACTAGTAGTGTAAAGTTTTCCTGACTGCTTCATGTGCTATATCTCATTTTTAGTAGCTCTGTTTAGGCAGATAAAGGGGAGTCAAGAATTTATGCAAACATCTGTATTCCTTGACCAATAATTTTGCTCTTCTAGCATGAAATGCAATAGAAAGTAAAAATGGCAATGTTACCAGCTGGGTAGTGAGGTGTGCTACAGAATCTCACAACCAGAGATTGTATTTTATAGCATGCTCTCTAGTTGGTGAAAAACTGGCCTCTGCCACAGCTTGTTCTCAGTATAATATAATATGTAATTAAATGATCAGTAAATATGAATTTTCACACAAAAGAAACATTTAAATGAAAAATATTACCAAATGCTCAACATCAATATTATCAGCAAATGTACTTAAAGAATTTATTTGGGCCTTGATCACCTTCCAATTGCATCATTTACCAACTCAGAGCAGGCAGCCTGATAGCAAGGGAAGGTAATTTGCAGCTGCAAGGTCAGGTCCTAATTCCCTATCCTCTGATAAAAGGGAAGGAAGCCTAAAGATAATGTCAAAGATCCGATGTCCCATCTCCTCCCCAGCAGTGAACACACTAGGCAAAGGTTTTGGGCTTTTTTCCATGCATATTAGACATACAAAAACAGGCACAAACCCCACTATCAATAAACACAGTAGTGTCATCTCCCTACAATATCAACCTACATGCAGAAACCAAAGACTCCCAGGCAAGATCTAAAGGATATTGCCTTGTCACAGCACAACTCAAGTCTTTTACTTCCCAGAATCTGATACAGTTAAAAAGGCAGTGCAGAACTGGAGCATTTTCAGAAACAGATGGTTTTGCAAGCATTTTATTTCAGTCCCCTATGCTAAAATATGTTTCTCATTACTCCTGGCTACAAGCAGACCACATTTGCTATCCTCATTTGCTACCCTGTTCTTTTTCCCCCTGTGGAGATGCACAGCTATGGGAGTTTTGGGGGGCTGTGGGGGTTTCAGGGAGCATTGTTTACCATCCATCCTGGCGGGCAGGAGCACTCCCCGGTGATGTGGTGACACACGCCTCCGTTCTGGCACGGGCACCTCTCCTCGCACTGCGGGCCGTGCTTCCCGGGGGGACACAGGTCCTCGCAGCTGGGCACAGGGTGGGGACAGCACAGACACCCGTTAGCACAGGCCCCAGCTTTGTTTCCAGTGCTATCACCATCAGCTCTGCCAGCCAAAAAGCGTGGAGCACTTCTGAGAGCAGAGAGATGCGCCCCGAGAGATGCTTCTGAGAGCAGAGAGATGCGCCCCGAGCGCTGTGCGATACCCACACAACGGATCTAAGGAAACAGACCTGGCACTCCAGGAATTACTCCTTCCCAATAAGCAATTTCACATGCAGTTTGGCACTCATTCCCTGCCGCTCACACAGCTCTGGCATGACAAAGGCCAAACAACTCCATGTTTCAATGCCATTTCCCAAACCTGTGGCCGGACTGACGGCCACGAAGAACCCACTGCTGCTCCTTTTTGTGTGTTTTTACCCATCTGCATCAAGGATCTTTTTCCTCTTGGCCACACATCTGAATGCACCCTCCAGCATGGCTTTGCCCAAACCCGCCAGCTCAGAATGAAGACTCTACATGGAATCTAACCCCTCCAACACCCCAAACAAACTCCACAACCCGGGCGCTTCTTACAAGGCGCCGGTGTATCCGGGGGGACAGCGGCACTCGCCGGTGACGTGGTCGCAGGTGGCTCTGTTCTGGCACTGGCACTTCTGCTGGCAGTCGTTGCCGTAGGAGCCGGGGTCGCAGCGCTCCTCGCAGCGCCAGCCCTTGAAGCCTGCAGAGCAGTGGCAGGCCCCCGTGATGGGGTTGCACAGCGCCCCGTTCTTGCACTGGCAGCGGCTGCTGCAGTGGGGTCCCCAGTGGTCGCTGTCACACGCTAAACGGGCAGAGGGAGAAAAGTTTTAGAAGGAGTTTTTGTGGTTACAGTGCAGTGAGCTGGCTGTGCAGCAATAAGGAAGAAGTTATGGAAGGGGAATGGTTTCTCCTTCTTGGTCCTTACATGTCAGAACTCAGTGCATCCCTCCAGGTGTCCAGAGCTGCCAGGACCCTGCCGGGGGGCTCAGAGACCCTGGCACACAGCCCAAAACACCTGGGGATTTGATTTTGACCCCTGGAGCAAGTTACCAGCTTTGTATGAGGACATGAAAGTCACAGAAGTTTGAATAGTGTAATAATAAAATTATCACAGCATGAAAATGCAGATTTTAGGATTTTTGGTATGGGGGTTATGCGGACAAGGTGGAGGAACTTGGGCATGTCCAGCCTTTCTCCTTCTTCTTCTTCTTCTTGTTCTCCATTTTTTGCAGTCATGTTGGCGCTTTGGGATTGGTTTAGAGTAGAAGTGCACTGTCTAACACAGGTGATGGGTATTGGGAATTAAGTGTAAATATGTTATACGTAGTTTGTAGTATAAAAAGACAATACTGCCCTGGGGGCGGTCAGAGTGCTCATGGCTGCCCTGCTGAGCAGATCTCGGCTGGGCAGAAAGATAATTTTATAGACAACAATTAATAAATAACCTCAAGACTGAAAAGTGAAGAGTCCAGACTCGTTCTTCAGCCATGCGGGCCGAAACAGAGACACCCTGCACATCTCGGGGCAGCAATTAACAACCAAAACCCGAGACTTAAGGATTGTGGCAGGCAGATCAGACTTGGTTTATGTGATTTATGCAATTCATTCTTCTCGAGAAAAGCCAACATTATAAACACGAGGTGGAAAACTAAATATAGGTTCAAATCTCTTAATTCTCAAAACTCTTCTTTGTGACAGTGTTCACAGGGGTCCAAGGATGAGGGAAGAGATGAGGATCTGACTCCATGTTTCAGAAGCTTGATTTATTATTTTAGGATATGTATTACATTAAAACTATACTAAAAGAATAGAAGAAAGGATTTCATCAGAAGGCTAGCTAAGAATAGAAAAAGAAAAATTCATAACAAAGGGTTGTGGCTTGGACAGAGTCCGAGCCAGCTGACTGTGATTGGCCATTAATTAGAAACAACCACATGAGACCAATCATAGATGCACCTGTTGCAGCAGATAACCACTGTTTACATTTTGTTCCTGAGGCCTCTCAGCTTCTCAGGAGGAGAAGTCCTAAGGAAAGGATTTTTCATAAAAAGATGTCTGTGACACTCCATTATAACTCTCAACCATCAAGCCATGAGCTTCCCTTTACAGAGGGAAGTCTAGCTAACTTAAAAAATGTACTCTAAATCCACCACCAACTCTCTTAATCCCACAAGAAAGTTGCAAAGTTTGCTCAGAGTAGACTTCTGATTCTGGGCAAATGAAAGAATTCCTACTTGTTCATGTAATTGCAAATATTTCCTTTGCAATCATCAAATACACTGACAGGACAAAAGAAAACACAAGAAGCACTTCACCAAGCAATAGGAAATTAACAACTACATGGTTAAACTTCATCTGGATGTTACAAATTTGATTATCCAATGCGTCTTTATGACCACTCAAATCCATCTTTTCTTGTCTGCCCCAATGCATCCCATTAAAGCTCTATAAGCAAACCATTTAGAAGGTATTTCAGCATCAAAAGAAGAACTCAATGTTAAGGAAGAAATTTTACCCTAAGAAACACAGGAGGTTTTGTAAAGAGCCAGGAGATTAGGGTCACCTGGAGTTCAACAGGAATGTGTTAATCATATGGTCAAATGATCTGATTTTATTTTTATGTTCTGTTGATAACAGCAGCACAATGGGAAAGCTTCAATTGCAGGGACTGTAAACCCAGGCTCTCCTCTTGGAGACTGACAACCATTGTTCTCCCAGTCTTCTCTTGGGGCAAAAAAGCCAGGCAGAGAACAGCCACACTTTCCTAGACTAATGCAAAGTAATTCAAGAATGCTCCTCGGGGTAGGAATTATTCAGCTGTAAGAGCTGTTCACCCAGGCTACACTAATAAAAAGGAATTAGGGTCTTTTCAAGAATCTACTCCTTAAGGTTGTTTTGTTTTTTTTCCTTTTTCCCCCCAGTATAGGTCACTAGAACATGCATCCATAAATGGAGATACTGTGAGCACTTACACACAATAAAACAGAGAGCAGCAGAAAGTAGTGTTATGTATTATAAACACCAAGCAGTGCTGCTGGGCTGTAAGGGCAACTGCCCATCTTATTACTGGCCTCTGTCTTTAAAGATGTGTGGGTTTTGCTGTGGACAAATAACAGGCCTACAACACTCTGTAACACACGGAGAGATGCACACTGCGTCTCCCAAATTGCCTTTTGCCACGATAACTTTAAACATTTTCAGCATGTCTGCATGGAGCAGAACGTGTAACCCTCCTGCTCAACCGGGCAGGAAACTAACTGTTTTGGGTGTAAAAAATACATGTATGGCTGTCAAGATGCCTGAGACAGTTATGTGTTCTATCATGGCAGAGCAGAACCCCTAATTTTTTATATATATATATATTTTTTTTTTTTTTTACATATTAGCTTACATTCAGATGAAAGTCTTCTTCATTTCAGACAAAATTTCAATTTTTGCAATTCCTCATGGAAATATTAATTAAAAAATCAAACAAGTAATAATAATAATAATAATATTAAAAAACCACCAACCAAAACCCAACAAGCCCTGTCCAGACATGTGTGATAAACAGGAGAATTGAGACTGATTGCCACACCACAACTGTTCCAGTGCAGAGCTCAGGCAAGGATGCAGGCAGCCAGAACATGCCCTTGGCTACAAAGATGGGGCTGGCAAGAGATTTATTCTTGGTGGTGGTGGCAAGAGATTTATTCTTGGTGGTGCAGCCAGCAATATCCCTGCAGCTTCCTGAAGACCCAGTGCAATGAGTCTGTGATTGCTCCTACCAAGCATCTGTCCCTACATCCAGCACCCAGCCTCACTTGGGCAGGATGCACTGCCCAGTACATAGCCATTAATTAGTTTCCTGGCATGACCTTCTCATTATGTTTGCAGGAAATCATTAAAATAAAAGCACATCCTATGGCTGGCAAACACCCAGCCTCAGGACCACTCTCCCAGCAATGATCAGGTGAATAACAAATATTGATTTTGCAATCTTTCATTACATTCAAGTGGCGGCCCCAGCACAGTGCACTTTTGCCACAACCCTTCACACAAGGTCTGTCACCAGCCTTCCATCCACCTGTGACTTATGGGCAGAACTGTGGAGAAATGTGCAGGATTAAGGGGAATAAATAATAATACTGAACAAGATGGATAAATCATGTATTTTAACTCAATTTCCCCTGACTGACCATCAATAAAATTCTCCATAGGAAATCAGAGTGATCTGTCAGAAACTGATGCTCAGTTTACCACTAGAAAAGAAGGGCAGAAATATTTCCTGGGGCGAGTTTGGATTACTTTTATACAATTATTACATCAGACTAGTTCTAGGATTCAAACACTGAGAAAGCTGGGCTGGAAGTCGCACATATCTGCTAATTTGGTGGAATGGGATATTCCTGGAGTTAGCTAATGACTACTGCCACACTGCAGAGTGTCAGCAGGAGTTTAATAAGCAGAGCTGTGCTGGCTGCACCCGGCCACAGGGCACACTCCACAACAGGCACCTGAAAAATCCTCATACACTGATTTTCTAACAGATCCAGAGCTGTCACACCATCTCTCTCAGCACAAGGGGAAAGGGGAGCAATGCACAGAGACATGGGAAGGTTCAGATTTATTTCAGAACAAGGATGGTGTATCTCAGCCCCAGTCAAAGCCTGAACCACTCAGAGGTGCCAAACCCAGCCAGGAAACCAGTATTAATTTTCTGTGTTGATCCTAGAGAACTGGCTCGTTGTTGCTCTGTCTTACACAGAACACCTGCTTTACAAAAGGCATTCATTACCTTTCACACATTATATTCACCCTCAGGTATTTTTCATGTTTTAAAAAGAATTAGTTAGTCTCCCCCCCCGTCAGCTATTGTATCAGATTCACAGGGTCCTTTCTGCCTTCATCTTATGCTGTAGGGGAAAAAACAAAATACACATAAACACCACTTTTAACACTGTGGTATTAATGTCACATCTTCTTATAATCTTTTTCTTTTATTACTCATCTGGGAATATCTTTTTTTCTCACCACAGTATGCACTTAGCACATCACACAACGCCACAGACACCTGAAGGAGAACTTTGCTCTCTGCTTTGTTGAGCAAAAGCAGGAATTGGAATAAAAGCGCTGCATTGCATAAATTCTATTTAACATGAACACTATGGTAAGAATCTCTAAGACTATGAAGGTCTACCATAATAAAAATTCTTGGTGACACTGAGGGCCAAGTGACTCGAGAAGCAGGGAGAAGCTTAAGGAGTCAATGGTAAAAGAACAATCTTTGAGAACAAACTGAAAACTGTGATGGAAACTGCTACCAGTTTGGGGCCTTTTGTAGCATCTTTGAAGATGTAAAGTTCTCCTGTATAGCATATGATTTCCTTGTAAAATAACTGTAATGCACATTGTTATTGTGCTGGGTTAAATGTGGTTTTGTGCGAGTGGTTTTTGTAATTTACAAACTGGGGTGATAGGAGCTCTGATATTTTAATTTATCTTTTTTAATGATTTTTTTTCTAACAATCTGGAACAGATGGGTAGAATTTGGCAACTACTTTATTGCTCTTTATAAACAAAAAACATTTTTAACTAAATACAGTCATGTGCTTGTAAGTTTTTTCCCTGCTTCTTAAAAATGTTGATTTCATTGAAGAGCAACAAAAAAACTTCAAACAATTCCCAGTTCATCCTGACAAACCCACCTTGATCATCTAAAACTCTGCACTCCTCTAAAGGCTGGCCTATAATAAACAAATAATGCTATCAGACCAAGCCAAAGAACAGTTTAGAAGAGAGACCTCCTTAGAAACTCTAACT